GGTCTACAATTCTCCGGATTCGTCTTCCAGTTCTATGGTCTCGTGCTGGATATCCTCCTTCTAGGTTTGCAGCGTGCAAACGAGATTGCTGGTGCACCAGAAAGCCCGAACGATTTCCTGCAGTTCAAGGACAAGGACACCGAGGTCCGCCACCCGATCCGATTGTACACCAGGTACATTGATCGTATCTGGGTCTTCTTCAGGTTCACCGCCGATGAGTCGCGCGATCTGATTCAGCGTTTCTTGACCGAGAACCCGGACCCTAATTTCGAAAACGTTATCGGGTATAAGAACAAGAAGTGCTGGCCACGTGACTCTAGGATGCGACTGATGCGTCACGATGTCAACCTGGGTCGCGCAGTCTTCTGGGATCTCAAGAACCGTCTGCCGCGGTCAGTAACCACGATTGAGTGGGACGACACTTTCGCTAGTGTTTACAGTCGTGACAACCCCAACCTGCTCTTCTCGATGAATGGCTTTGAAGTCCGCATCTTGCCCAAGATCCGCAACTTGACTGGTGAATTCCCTGTTAAGGACAGTGTATGGTCGCTCGTCGACAACTCTACCAAGGAGCGAACCGCAGATGCTTTCTTGCAGGTCACCGAGGAAGACATTCAAAAGTTCAACAATCGCATTAGGCAAATCCTCATGTCGTCTGGATCCACTACATTCACGAAGATTGCCAACAAGTGGAACACTACTCTCATTGCGCTCTTCACTTACTATCGTGAGGCCGCCGTCTCCACTGTTAATCTACTTGACACCATTGTCAAGTGCGAGACCAAGATCCAGACGCGTGTGAAGATCGGTCTCAACTCAAAGATGCCGTCTCGTTTCCCTCCTGCCGTGTTCTACACACCGAAAGAGTTGGGTGGTCTAGGTATGATCTCCGGATCCCACATCCTCATCCCCACCAGCGACAAACGATGGTCAAAGCAAACCGATACTGGTGTTACGCACTACCGTGCCGGTATGTCACACGACGAAGAGACTCTCATTCCTAACATCTTCCGTTACATCATCCCTTGGGAGTCCGAGTTCGTCGACTCCCAGCGTGTGTGGATGGAGTATTCCCAGAAGCGTCAAGAGGCACAACAACAGAACCGACGACTAACCTTGGAGGATCTGGAGGACAGCTGGGACCGTGGTCTTCCTCGTATCAACACACTGTTCCAGAAGGACCGTTCCACTCTCAGTTTTGACAAGGGTTTCCGCGCACGTACGGAGTTCAAGATTTACCAACACATGAAGAGCAACCCCTTCTGGTGGACAAGCCAACGCCACGACGGTAAGCTCTGGAATTTGAACGCATACAGAACAGATGTTATCCAGGCCTTGGGTGGTGTTGAAACCATCCTGGAGCACACATTGTTCAAGGCGACGGCTTTCCCATCGTGGGAAGGCCTCTTCTGGGAAAAGGCATCAGGTTTCGAAGAGTCAATGAAGTTCAAGAAGCTTACCAACGCCCAACGTTCCGGTCTTAACCAGATTCCCAACCGTCGCTTCACTCTTTGGTGGTCACCAACCATCAACCGCGCCAACGTCTATGTCGGTTTCCAGGTCCAACTGGATCTTACGGGTATCTTCTTGCACGGAAAGATCCCCACGCTCAAGATCTCGCTCATTCAAATTTTCCGAGCCCATTTGTGGCAGAAGATTCACGAGTCGGTTGTCATGGATTTGTGTCAGGTCTTCGACCAGGAGCTCGAAGCTCTTGGTATCGAGACTGTCCAGAAGGAGACTATCCATCCCCGAAAGTCGTACAAGATGAACAGCTCTTGCGCTGACATCCTGCTTTTCGCCAGCCACAAGTGGAGTGTCTCACCGCCGTCTATGCTTTACGACACCAAGGATACCATGAGCGCTACCACAACGAACAAGTTCTGGATAGACGTCCAACTGCGATATGGTGACTACGATTCTCATGACATTGAGCGATACGTACGCGCCAAGTACCTTGACTACACTCAGGATAGCATGAGTATCTACCCGTCTGCTACAGGTCTTATGATTGGTATCGATCTGGCCTACAACCTGTACTCAGCGTACGGACAATACTTCCCTGGTCTCAAACAGCTCGTTCAGCAAGCAATGGCCAAGGTCATGAAGGCCAACCCTGCCCTTTACGTCCTTCGTGAGCGTATCAGGAAGGGTCTTCAGCTGTACGCGTCAGAGAGTTCTCAAGAGTTCCTCAACTCGCAGAATTACTCTGAACTGTTCAGCAACCAGATCCAATTGTTTATCGACGACACCAACGTCTATCGTGTAACAATCCACAAGACCTTCGAAGGTAACTTGACGACCAAGCCTATCAACGGTGCCATCTTCATCTTCAACCCTCGCACTGGACAACTGTTCTTGAAGATTATCCACACGAGTGTCTGGGCTGGTCAGAAGCGTCTTGGTCAATTGGCGAAGTGGAAGACTGCTGAAGAAGTGGCGGCTCTCATCCGATCTCTGCCTGTGGAAGAACAGCCGAAGCAGCTTATCGTGACCCGTAAGGGTCTGCTCGACCCTCTCGAGGTGCATTTGCTTGATTTCCCCAACATCTCCATCCGTGCCTCGGAATTGCAACTCCCCTTCCAGGCTGCTATGAAGGTCGAGAAGCTTGGTGACATGATTCTTCGAGCGACCGGACCTCAGATGGTGCTCTTCAACTTGTACGACGAATGGCTCAAGACGATCTCTTCGTACACCGCCTTCTCTCGTTTGATCCTCATTTTGCGTGCATTGCACGTCAACCAGGACAAGACCAAGCTACTGCTGCGGCCAGATAAGACCGTCATCACGCAAGAGCATCACATCTGGCCCTCACTAGCTGATGAAGACTGGATCAAGGTCGAGGTACAATTGCGAGATCTCATCCTGCTTGACTACGGAAAGAAGAACAACGTCAACACTTCATCGCTCACCAGCAGTGAAGTCCGTGACATTATCCTCGGTATGGAGATCTCTGCACCTTCAATGCAACGTCAGCAAGCTGCCGAAATCGACAAGCAGCAAGAAGAGCAACAACAGTTGACTGCTGTGACGACCAAGACCCAAAACATCCACGGTGAGGAGATGGTTGTCACAACTACGTCGCAATACGAACAGGCGTCGTTTGCTTCCAAGACTGAGTGGCGGACGAGGGCCGTGGCTACTTCCAACTTGCGCACTCGTGCTAATAACATCTACATCAACTCTGAGGATGTCAAGGAAGAGGGCCACTTTACGTACGTCATGCCCAAGAATGTGCTGAAGCGCTTCATCACCATCGCCGACCTCCGTGTCCAGGTTGCTGGTTACCTGTACGGAAGGTCACCGCCAGACAACGACCAGGTCAAGGAGATTAGTACGATTGTCATGATTCCTCAAGTCGGAAACACCCGGGATGTTCAGCTTCCCAAGGAATTGCCCAGACATGAGTACCTCGATAACCTTGAGCCTCTGGGAATTATTCACACTGTCAGTGGTAATGAGCCACCATACATGCAAGCCAGTGATGTTACCCAGCACGCTCGCCTCATGAACCAGCACGCCAGTTGGGACAAGAAGACTGTCTCCATGACCGTCTCCTTCACCCCTGGTTCCGTTTCACTCGCTGCCTGGGCTCTCACCCCGAACGGCTACAAATGGGGTGCTGAGAACAAGGACACCATGTCCGACAACCCGACAGGTTTCAGCACCAGCTTTGGCGAGAAGTGCCAGTTGCTGCTGTCAGACAAAATCCGAGGCTACTTCCTGGTGCCAGATAACGGCATTTGGAACTACAGCTTCATGGGTAGCACATTCGGTTCTGTGGAAAAGAAGCCAGTTCACGTGCGTCTCGATACGCCTGTCCGCTTTTACGACAGTATACATCGACCACTGCATTTCCACAACTTTGCCGAGTTGGAAGACGTCTGGGTCGATCGCGAGAACCAGTTTGAGTAGGTGGATTAGTGTACAAGAAAGAAGGGGTGCATTGAGGAGGCTTATACCATCTCACGGAGTTCCTAAGGGTTGGCGTTTTTGCATCACATGATCAACTGCATGGAAAGTGGAGAATGGGCGATGATTGAGATTTAGTCAAAAATGTGCATAGTGTATTATAATGTTATAAGCGAAATGCAAGTGCTACTTTCAGTTATATTGTCGACGTGTCCAAAGAGTTCGCTGATTCGTTTTGATCTAAGCTTGTTCGCATTTGCTCTCCAGTGCTGTCGCCAAAGCCGATCTTATGTATTGCACTCTAAAACATGCACCGTATTAAAGAGAAAAAACAAACTTCCTCTTTAAGAGTACTCCTTCCTACTACAAAAGAGCATATTAAGAGTATATAGATATAGATTAAAAACCTAAAAGACTACAATACTGTTAACCTTTATACGTTTTCTAATTAGAAGATAATGTAGGCTGCAAGGTAAAGCTTGTTATATCTATACCTGTTCGGTTTTTTCCTCGTATACGGTGCATGGGTTATAACCTATTGAAAACGATCAAGTTGATGTAAATTACAAACTTATATACAGCTTTGCGAAGTCTTCTAAGTCGTCTACTCAAAGTACGTCCGGCTTTAGTGATGGCATCAGAGTTTCTACCGATGGGCTAGCATTTTAGTTTTGCGCTCCAGGACCTTTGGTTCTAACAACGGCGATGGCGTGAGGAGAGGGTTGAAAGTTGTGACTGTTGGGTAGCTTAGTATCGCACTCAGCTCTTGAAGTGATGAACATACCCTTGCTATTCCTGTTCTCGAGAGTAAATGCCAAGTCTCCCTTGTCCGTTACAGCTGAAGAAGCAGAAGTTGACGTCATCGGATTCATCGCAGGCTTTAGAGGCCGCTTTCCGCTGGACAACGATTCGCGCGGCATCACTAATGTCAAGGTTAAAGTCCAAACTCGAACGGCGTTAAAGATTGGCTATTCGGCTGGTAGGGGTTCTAAGTTGTTGATAGGAGATGCGCACCTCCTGCAAGCGGTACCCCGCACCTCCCTCTTCGGGCAGCCACGCGGGGTGTTTGCGTCGCACAACCGACCACTATCTAATGAAGTTGCGAAGACGCAAATGCGATGACATACATTATATCCTGGAGAACGATATCACGGTTGTCAGCACGAAGACGTAATGGTGCTAAGCGCGGTCGTCAACAATATGTCAATTTGGAGCTGATATAGATGAACTTGAACACACTCTTCCTTCTCTTAGTCGACGCTTCTCTCGGTCTATTGAATCACAATGATTAGCACTATTTTCAGTCTAGTTACGGTACAGAATGCTGAGTATACTGTTGTTAGCTTGGGTGTCTACGTGATTATCTCAGCCAATCTATGTCTATGCTGTACTAATGTATCTCCAGATTACTTTGCTATGTATCTATCGCGTCTACTTTCACCCTTTATCCTCATTCCCCGGTCCTCTGTCCTACAAGATAAGCGGATGGCCTCTCCTCTGGCAGGCCTATATCGGCAATCGTCACATCTGCCACCTCCTCGATCATCAGAAATATGGTTCTGTGGTTCGGATTTCTCCTAACGCGCTTTCCTTCAATACTGCGTCTGCACTCCATACTATTTATGCACCGCGCAACGCCAATGTGAAGAAGGGAGAGTGGTATAAAACTTTCGATATAGCTGCTGGAACGTATAGCAGCTTCACAGAAACGAGTAGGGAGAAACATGCAGCAAAGAGGAGGTGGATGGGTCCTATTTTTTCGCCTGAGAGTCTGAATTCAAATGAGCAGACGGTGCGTGGTATCATAGAACGGTTTTGCGAGACTTTGAGGAGTTTCAGGCAAGACTGTAAAGAAGAAAGCAACGGTGATTGGGGAGAGAAATGGAATGCTAGCGAGATGAGCACATACCTCGGATTTGATATCATGGGGGCACTCGTGTTTGGAAGCAGATTTGAGACGGTGCAAAAAGAAATGTTTAGGCCGTTGGCCAGCTCAGTTTTACCGGCTAGCATGTTGATGTATTGGGTACGAGTTCTCTCTACACCGGGATACCGCTACTCTTAGGGCTAATTTCGAATAACAGATATCCTATCTGCCTCCGGCATTTATCGTACGGCCTATCCTACGAACCAGGTTGTTCGAGGCATTAGGCGGTAAATCTGTTACAGACAATAACCGCTTGATCGATTATGGTGCCACCCAAGTTCAATTACAACAATCGAAAGTTAAGGCAGAGAGAGATAGTAATTCCCAACGAGTAGATTTTCTGTCGCATCTAGTCACAGCGAGGGACAAGAAAACTGATTGGCATCCTTCGACAGCAGATCTCGGTACTGAGTGTCTCAACCTGATGAACGCTGGGGCGGATCCTTTCAGTGGGGTCCTTGCCGGAGCTATCTTCTACCTGGTGCGAAACCAGGATGCACTTCGCGGAGTTACTCAAGAGATAAGATCATCCTTTACCTCGCCTTCCGAGATTGTCAGTGGCCCGGTACTAAATCATTGCACTTATCTCTACGCTGTCATCGAAGAGACCCTTCGTCGCACCGCGCCAGTACCCAGCCATCTTCCACGCATCGTCTTAGACGGAGGTATTGAGATCGATGGCGTTCGCATTCCGGCTGGCACAACAGTAGGCGTACCAATGTATGCTCTACATAACGATCCCACCCATTTCCCTGCACCGTTTGCTTTCTTACCCGAACGCTGGATCGAGTCGCCTTCCAACCCCGCTTCCTCCATCGCCTTGGCTCGAAGGGCATTTTTCCCGTTCAGCATTGGCAGTAGGATGTGCAGTGGCAGGAACCTGGCATACTTGCAATTGAAGTTGACACTGGCACATTTACTCTGGCGCTTCGACCTACGATTGGCCCCTGATGAGCCCGAGTCTGGAGGTGGGAAGCCAGGATTGGGTATTGGAAGAGAAAGATCTGATGAATTTCAGATGTGGGATGCACTTGGATTTGGGAGAGACGGACCGATGGTCCAGGTTAGGGTTGCACAGGTGGAGTCTTGACGGTTTAGATGGAAAGAAAGAGAGAAGGTATTGATTTGGAGTGTCAAATAACGGAATGCTGAATTGGTGCGACTGATTGTAAACTCTTGAATGCATCTTTGCCATAATGTCTCCATGCATCTATTGCTCCCCATCTCATACTCAGTTTCAAAAGCGTTGTATGATCAGGGTGTTCACTCGCCTGATTATTCTGAAACGCCAGACGTTGCAATCAGCACACTCGTCTTTGCACACGGTAGATGTTTACTAGCAAACCCCTCAACATTAGGCTCTCAGTCGAGAAACCATCATCTATATCAGCCGTCCCTCTAGCGGGCTATCCCTATCCCATCGCGACCTCAACAATTCCTCAACCTCATCATCGTACCACTTCCAACTGACAGGTACCTCGCAGCCAAACTTTTCCCACCCATGTCTCAAGCTAGTCGAACCATTTGATATCCAACGTGGTGGCTTCTCTACATCTTCCAATGCCTCTATCTGGGTAAAACTAATCTCCTTGTACCGCCTTGCAACAATGCTACAAGCAGGGTTTCCACCATCGGTAGGATCGACAAGATACTCGTACTTCAAACATTGGGCAGCGACGGAATTAAAGAGAACATAGTAGTAGGATGGTGTGTCTCGAAGTCTTCCATGGTTGTCTTCGATGGGTGGAGGGTTGGGCTCAGGTATGATCCGGAAGCTCGCGTAGGTAATTGGGATGGTGGATTTAGTCGGTTGACGAATTCCGTCAGTATCCAAAGCTATCGTCCATGTATGTCTATCTCCCATGCGCCGATGGCCGTGGTCTACACGGGACACTAGCTGCCTCGAGAGAGCTGGAGGTGAAAGTGCAGTCGGATTTGCATTTTGTGCATCTCGAAGGTCTAGAGGCTCAGTTGGTAGATCGAGGATATGCTTCTTGGACCGCAATACCTGTCCCAGACGTTGCGGAGAACGATTGACTGCATTCTCTAAGAGAAAGGAGCGTTTGAGGATGAAAGTTGTATACGGTAGAAGTGAATACGCGTGTGACCACGTTATGATGTTGAGTGCTTCTGTGACGTGTGGATCGAACAGCGCAGTGGAAAGCGCAGACTCGCATGTGGCCCCAAGACACAGATGGGGACAGAAGCAGGGATTCCAATTATCTGTCTCATTCTTCCTTACCCTGTTAGGGCAGCTAGCAGTATGCTTGTCGAAATAATGTAACTATTCGTCGTCAACCTTGGATTTGGATCAACACATAGCAAAGCCTACCCCGTCGTACTTCTCATGCGCTACAGTTTCTCCGATCTCATGCCAACCGTCTTCCTTGAGGTAATCGAGCATCCTTGTAGCAGATGTTCCTTTGCCCACAAATATCGAAATTCCTGTGAAGGGTCTACGAAGAAAGAAGTAGAGTGCGGTGCTGTTGCAGATGATGGCATCAGTTTCCGCTTGCACGTTTCGGAATTCGATTGGTGAATTGAAGAACCGCCTCAAGCCATTATTGATGTTGTACTGAGTTTTGATTGTGGTGTTGTAGACGTGACTCAATTTCTTACACACACGAGATAAGGATATGATATCTCGGATCTCCAGTTGCTGCAAGATAGACGCTTGAGCTGGAGCGTATCTGTTGATAAGACCAACAAGATTTATGGGGGGCAGGTGAGTCATGCTGGCGAAAGTCTCCGTAGTAGCAGCGACGCAGTAGACCGTGTGGCGGGGTTGTAGGAGAAAAAAGGAAAGAACAAGGTCAAACTTTTATACTAGTCTCGAAGTGTGACAGAGATTCTTGAATAAGTCTTGATATGCTGGCGGAGAACATCAATACGAGGGAACATCACCAGATCTAAATCCATCCACACCCTATCTCATATCCACATACTCACATCTACTAGTAACGCCATTAAGTTGGCAACAACTTTCATTCCTGCCTCTTCAACCACGCCAGATTTACTGCACTCAAACAACCACTCTCCCCCTTCTCCAACCATCCAAGCAAGTTCTCCATACCCAATCTCTCAAACCCAACATGGCTCTCTACACTCGCTCCAGCTGTATGGCTTAACACCATAACATTACTTCTCTCTGCCAACCTCTTATTGACATATGGTTCATTGGCATGAACGTCGAGCCCAGCCGCCGAAATTGTCCCATTATCCAACGCAACATTGAGCGCCTCCTCATCCACTAGCTTCCCCCTCGCAATATTAACAAGTCTCGCCCCATGTTTAAACTGGCTAAACTCCTTTGCAGAAAGTAGCGTCTCCCCCGAAAACGGCGTAGCAAGTAACACACAGTCTGATGTGGACAGAAGCTCCTCAAGTGTTTCACACCACCTTGCACCAATCTCCTTCTCCCTATCCGACATTCTGACAACATCGTAGTATGCAATCTTCATCTCGAAAGCGCGGGCCGCCTTCTCCGCAACTCGCATACCGATTCGACCAAGACCCACGATACCGAGCGTACTGCCATTGGGATTGTGCGTCACAGCCGCAATGTTCTGGTTTGCGTTGCGGAATTGATCGTGATCACAGGAACGTGCTGCAAGGAAGGACCAGGTGATTGCGCGAAAGCAAGATAGGATGAGGACAATGGCGGCATCGGCAACGGATTCAGTGCAGGCAGATGCACTATTACAGTATATGGTGCCGTGCGAGGCGAGGTATTGAACGTCGACCCAGTCGAAGCCTGCGCCAGCTGAGGCGTAGATCTTGCAAGAGGTGGGAAGGAGGTCAATGAGCTCTTTATCCCAATTCCCCATTTCTCCTCCTGTGTTCCAGAAGGGACGGTACATTCCTACAAAATCACCCCATCTTTTCTCTTTCAATGCTTTCATGAACTCTTCCCTTCCCATTGAGTTTGTTCGTACAATGTTGAACGTGTCATTTAGCTTAGCATATAATTCATGATTCCATCGGATATCGTCACCAAGATGTAGTATAGTCGGTTTTGACGAAGAAGAAGTGTTTGATAGTAATGACGAGGATCGATATGGCGTTGCGGGTGCAGGAAGACCGGAGTCCTGAGGTGTCGGTGTTACTGAGGACATGATGTAATGCCTTCGAGTTTGTTTCCGAAAGATACCTTGTGGAGGCGACGACCGGATCAGGTACTTGTACAGATATGAGAAAATGCAATCAAAACAGATTTGGAACGGGGTCGAGACGTGCGACGGATGAGTCCACAAAGCTGTACCTCGACTTCTAGATATCTTTTCGTCCCACGAACCACTTCTTATAGCACCAAGTGATTGGCACTTCGCGACCAAATACTCGGGTGCACCTGACTAGTACAGCAGCTTGTTGAGATTCCGCCTCTTTAACCGTTTGTTCACAGCCGGGAAACAACCACCGCACGTCGCAAGATACTGTACTGCTCTTGAGCGCAAATTATTCGTACACACTGTGGTGTTGTCGTTCAAGCATGTACAGCGAGATGCAGCATAGCATGTATGTGAGAGTCGACGTACGCGGGGTATAAGCCGCTGGCAAGCGGTGAAGCTCAGGTTATCGATACCAAGAGCAGCACCAACGCAATCAGAGCCTCCACGTGGTAATACATGCGCCTTATCCCTGCCGCATCCCTGCGTGGTCGCCGCTAGATATCTGAACATGGGATCTGCTAACATCAAGGTATGTACTGATCCTTCTTGCTTAGATCCGAGAGTAATAAAAGCATAGTTGTTGGTTTTATACAATATATAGAATTTCAATGTTATCAAATACAGGGTATAACGATCGTTTCCTCGCTCAATGCAAGCCACAAATAGATGGAGTAGAGCTCTTTCTCGCCCAAACGCCGTAAACACCCATCATGGCTTCGTGAAAGATAATGCTTTAGACAGACAATCAATCAGAACCAGGGCACGAGGCCAGCCGTACTAGCCGGATTCGTCGGGGTTCCTTCGATCCCATACTGATTCACCATGTCATCCCAAAGTGTCCAGTCCATATCCCCATCGTCCATCATCACAGCTTCTTGAACGTGCTGCTGCCTATTGCCATTGATATTGGCATTACTCAAACCTGCAGTGTTATTGCTATCGATGCTAAAATCCATACTTGTGGTTGGAAGCATGCCATCTCCGAATGTAGGATAGCCATTTGCGGCTGTGGGCGGGTTCATCCCGTGTGTACCGTATGAGTGTGTTGAGGTGGTGTTCGAGGTAGCAGGCTGAGCTGTCATGGTCGTGGGGGTATATGCGGGCCAGTTCAGGACTGTTCCGTCGAGGACCCCACCGGATCCCATAACGTCGTTAATCACGTTATCAAGGCCGTATTCGAACAAATCTCCAAACTCTTTTCCAGGCGAGGCGCTCTTGCCTCTTGCGCTATTTGACTGTTCGTTTGGCAATGGTTGTTGCTGAATCGAGCTCTTTCCATCTTGCAGCGAGTTGGTTCGTGACTTGGCTTGCGCAGGGCTGCTGGGCCAACTCGGGAGTTCAGCGCTAGGCATCTCACCCAGTTTCGGTGCCGAAGGTCGCAACATGCTGTCCAAGATCTTGGCTTCGTGTTGAGCTGTAGTGGCTGCTGACTGATTTGCCTGATTCAGCGCATTCGGACCTTGGAAAGCAAATGCGCTGTTGGCAAACTGCCCATTCCGGAGAGCCAGGCTAGCCCGCTCGAGGGCCAGCTCTCGTTCCCGCGCTGCCCTTGCTTTTGCAAGAAGTTTTCGTAGCGGTTTCCAAAGAGTTCCTTGTTGGCCTTTACGGAGTGGTGAAGCATCATTGAGCGGGAACCACCAACGGCCAGCAGTTGCTTCCAGGGCTCTCCACGCGCGCTCTACAGCCTCGCCTTTGGTGCGGACGCATAATTCAGAGAGCAGGAAGGCGATGGCGTGCCACTGGACATATGTGCGGAAGAGCCAGCCCCACTTCATGGTACGCGCTTCGGTCTCGAGCAGGATAGAGTACTCGACGTTCTCAAGCGAGGTGATGAAGAGTTTGTCTTTGGTCTCTTGCGGCAATGTTGCACCTCCATCTTTTCGTTGGTGTGGGTGATAGACAACCAACCACATTTTGCTCATGATGAGCCTTGAGATAGTCGCTGTAACCCAACAGATCGGAATACTCATATCGCAATTCTTAAGATACTTGTCTTCCATGGCCTGGTGAGCATCGCTAATCCATTTCTCCTTTTGCTCGATTGTCAGACCAGAGAAATATTCGGTGCATCTATTAGGGCCCGGGGGGACGTATATGATACGGCGGAAAATGTGGGTGATTTCGAAGCGAAGGAGGCAGAAGGTCATGTCGGTGAAACCTTGGCGGTCTTCGGGAAACTCGGTCATGTCGGGGTGTAGGTCGGTATCGTTGACATTAAGTGGCTGTAGGGTAGTTGTTAGTATGTGATTGTAGACATGAGACGAACTGACATACCATCTTGGTGTCAAACTGGGCTTCGACAATGGTCGGATCGCAACCGTGATCTTCCGAAGATCTCGCATCAAGAATGCAGACCTGCCACCACAGGCGCCTACGCATTTCGATCTCGAATGGCGGCAGACCAAAATGACTACCATCTCGGTGTATACCAAGCGTCTGCGCAATGCGCACGGCCAAGCCAGTCAGAGTCCAAATCTTGCGCGCGTCGTCGTTGCGCCGCAGTAAGACGAGGAAGATGACAAAGGATTGGAGGATGATGACTTCGTCGCAGTAGAGGAAGTTTGCTCTTGCCAGCGCCTGTTCCAACCCAAACCGATATTTGTTGAGGAGTGCGTTTCGGTCTTCGCCCCACCTTTCCAGACAGACTTCCGCGGTTGTGCTTGTTACTGCGCCGTAGTATATGGCGAATAAGAGTGTTTCCATTCCCTTGCTCACTTTGTCGATATGCGCAAAAGCGTCGAAGATGACAGGCTCGAAACTGGGAACGTGGAGCACTTTGACCAAAGACTCGACGTGGTCCTTGTAGACGTCCCAGAATTCGCGCGCTTGCTGCTCGGGAGGGTGAAGCGCGTGCATGTCGACGTTGGAGGAGCTGTAACCAAAGACGAAGCTCTGGTGCGAGGACATGTTGGACGACTCGGGCGAGGGCGCATCGTCTTCGTCGTCGGATGGCTCGATAAGGATCGACTTGAGGTCTTCGACCTCGTTGTTCAAAGAGGCCCAGAAGCTGTTGTTGATGTAGCGGCTCCGGCCTTTTTCCACCACCAGCCGTCCGAAGCGGTTCTCAAGGCCCTCTACACTGTTGTCGGTTTCGACTCTTGCGCCATGCTGCTTGGTCGGCCATGGGACCTGGGGCTGCCCGCTCGGACAGCCTCCCTCTGCACTTGCGCTGTTCTTTCGTTCCCTCTCGCGGTCGGCCGCCTCCTGCTCGTGGCCCTCGACCTGGGCGTTCAGACTGGTGACGACGCCCTCCAGGCGGCGCAGTCTCTCCAACAACTCGGCATCGGGTGGCTTTCTGCTCTTTCGCGGCGCGCGTCCAGGTCCAGGGAAGATGCAGTCGATTTTGGCGCGCACGCAGTTGGAACACGGGTTCTTTTTGTCGCATTTGACCTTGCGCCTACGGCAGGTAACGCACGACCGGGGGTTTGGCGTCGGCCCAGCACCTCCACCGGGTGAGGGGCCGCTGACACTGCCGTTGAGCCTCTGGGTGCCATTGGGCGACGTTTGGCTAGACTGTATCTCGTCGGACATTGTATAAGGGATGAGTGATACAGGAAGCTGCCTCTTCCCTCTGCCGAAATCCCTCTTCTTGCTCTCGACACTCGTTCCTCCGTGTGGCTTGACTTTTGCGGCGAGACCCTAGTCGATTGTCGGCGCTGACCCAACTTCAGGCTCCGATCGCTTTGTACGACACCAGTACGAAGCGGAACGTCCCTGGTGGGGCCTGGCGAATCAAAGCTTGTCGTCTGGCTATCCCACACTGCACACGCCGGTCAAGACAGGGACTTTGCGAAAACAAGTCGTCGACTCAGACCGCTTGACACGCATATCTGCGGAGGAACCACCGTCCATCACCTCTTATGCCCGCCTAAGGCCGGCCCAACGTCATTCCACCGGCTGAACATCACCCTCTGCTATGCACAATCTCGTATGAGGGGACGTCTGAGTCATCCATGTAGGCCTAGCCGGCCCTGTCTTTCGTCGTGACTACTCTGCAGACAGGATCAAGGTTTATCAAGTGCTACCCATTTACGCCTGTCGCATCCCGTGGACTGCGATCGGTGAGAAATTCGGAGCCTGCCAAGTCACCTCCGCAGATCCATTTCCATCTGATAAGCGCACGCTCTAGAATCTCACCAGAACATTCATTGTGCATCCAAACAAGTTGTTGCCTAGTCTGAATCATGTACCATGGGTATCGCCGAAAGCGCATCCTCCCGTGACTCCAATATTTTCCTAAACGCCATCAAGTTGAGTCGTTGCATCACGCTTCCCGGCTCCGAGTCTATCTCCGCTCACTTCGGCCGCCAATGTTCTTCTCTTTCCTGCGTCTGCTATTCTCGACCGAGAGACGGGCCTTGTCCTCCGCCTCTTCCTCCATCTCTCGATCGATTGCCTCCCTCACTCTCATGAGCTCTTCCAGCGGGATACCCTTTGTGTCTACGACCACACTAGGTGCGCCCTCTAAGTACCTCAGATTCTCTAGTGCTTGTTCGACTAGCTTATGCAATTTAGCCTGCGAGTTCAGGTTGTCGTGACGCTTCGTGTTGTGTAGATCAGGGTACAAAACCCCATCGCCATTCTCTGCTCCTTGAAAGGCTTGGAGGTAGGGTATGTGAGCGGGTAGCTCATTGTGAAGCGTTGCACCTACACAGACAGACGTTTCGTGACACCATGTCCGTGCAACATTGCGAGGTGTGTAGCCACCACCACCTATAATGAGCAGAGGACGACCGTAAGCTTTTACTGTTTCTACGCAATAGCCGTGCGCTTTGATGTTGAGGTTGAAGCGACCGAGGCGGTCACCCCCAAGAGAGTCGGCACCCGACTGCAGGACGATAGCTTGCGGGTTGTATTTTTCTATTACTGCGCCGGTAACCGTCTTGAAGAGCCACTTGTACTGGTCGTCGTCGATGCCATCATCGATGGGAATATTCAGGCTGTGGGCCTTGCCGGGATTTCTAGGATCCGCGGGACCCGTCTCGTCGATGGCTCCTGTACCTGGGAAGAACGGATAGCCGTGCTTGTCGATACCATACTTGTGGTACGAGAGCGTGAATACACGATCTGTAGACTCAAATGCCTGTTCGACACCATCGCCGTGGTGGACGTCGATATCAATGTACAGGACGCGCTGGTTCCGCGAGAGCAGAGTTTGGATCGCTATCACAATGTCGTTGACATAGCAGAACCCGGAGGCAAGATTCTTTTTCGCGTGATGTAAGCCTCCAGACCAGTTGATGGCGATATTAGACTGGTTGTTGATGAGATTGTAGGCAGCGCTCATTGTGGCACCCGTATAAAGTGATACGTAGTTCCACAGTCCATCAAATACTGGGCAGTCGTTCGACTCGCCACCAAAGCCATACGCTATATACTGAGGGTCCTCAGGCTGTGCGTTCTGAGGCGTGATTTTGCTGAGGTAGGCTAGATATTCGCGGTCGTGGAACACAGCAAGGTCCTGGAAGCTGGCTGGTCTTGGCTCGAAGAGATCCATGGTATACTCCAACCCATACGCAAGAACGAGTTGTTTCGTCAGCGTCAGACGCCATGGTTTCATCGGATGTGAGCTGCCAAAGTGATGATACTCCACGTGCGGATTGTAATGGAAAGACACATTCCAGCCTTTCGGCCTCTCGAGACCATGTTCTTCGGCTTCACGCGCAATCACGTCCTTTTTCTCGGCATCAGTAAGTACCTTGAAATCCTGGTAATTGGCGACCCAAGGATCGTCCGGAGAGAGGTACTCCTGCACAATATCACTGGGTCCGCCTGGCGGAGCATAACCGGCAACTCGCATGTTTCGAGGAACCTGTCACGCGTCGTCGTGAAATCCTCTGTTTGGGTTGATAAGACGTGGGTTCGGAGCACCCTCGTAGATCTAGCGCTTCAGGTCGTCTTTGTTGCTGATGAATGTCTTAATAAAAGATTCGGGCCTCAATTCCTCTTCCCAAATTCTGTTCCAACGTGCTAGAGTCTTAGGCTCGAGCACAGGATGCGGGATCCGATTATCGTCCGCTGCACGGTACTGCGGCAGTTAGCGAGTGTCGAAGAATACCAGAGCTTTCTAAGCCTCCAGAAATCAGTAGACACAATATTATGAGTCTTCATTGTTTGGATGGGATCTTTGGTGTAGAGAAGGGATGTTTACCTTTGCTTTACGAGGACGTTTTCTCGTTGCAATTTGCGACGGCTTCTTGCAGCTGTAGTCTGCTCTGGTCGCGCGACGCGTGTTCGGATTTGATTTCTGCCACTGTGGTCCGTTCAGGAGAGCAGCGAGCTGAGGTTTGACATGTGCGCCGGTAGAATCGTGACTGTATGCGAAAACTTCTTGGTCTTCGTTCTGAATGTCTTCTCTGTTGTAGTTGTAGTTGTCGTCGTGACAAGGTTCGCTTGCGGTGGATGAGCCAACCTTGTCTTGGGCGCAATCATCTGATTGGGTATGATAGCGCAGCATCTTGCCGAACACGTAATCGAGCCTCTTTGTCAGCGGCTGTTCCTGCATGTCAACGCGTTACAACACGACTCCATTAGTCTATCGCGAGAGCGAAGCTTACGAAATAATCCGACTCAAGATACAAACAGAACTTGAGCACCAAAAGAAAAGTGGACACGAAGTGAGGGTCGAACGGAAAGGTTTTGCGCTGCGTTGTTTGTTTCTCTGTCGCGACACGGCTCTTTCACTCCCAAAGGCATCAACGTTCCATCAAATTTCATCAAAATTGCAAGTGCAACGGGCAAGCAACTCGTTTTCTGCCCCTTTGCTCTCTAGCGGGTCCTATCGACCGCGTCCTGGCTGCGCGAAGTATACCTTGACAAGATCATCGCCACACGCGTCTATACGCCCGACGACATAGGACCTAACATCTCAACATGGCTATCGCAGAAGATGCAGCGACAGTACTCGAACAGTTCATACATGATGGTATTTCCACTTATCATCTTTAACACGATCATCGCAGCTGACATGTGGCAGTCGCGAACCTTCCCGCAGAGATCACGCATCTTTACGAAGAAGTCCAAGCCAAGGACAATCAGATTCAAGAACTGCGCTCTGCAATACAGCAGCGAGACGGCAGCATACAGAAATTCATCAAGCTCAACGGAAGCCTAGTTGAGAATCCAAAAGAGGCTGGATATTCGAAAACCATCATGGCAAATTACGAGAAAGCGCAGATACTGCAAGAAGAGAAGATTGGACTTGTCGACAAAGCTGCTGCACTTGTACGTTGTTGATCTGCAATGTTCGTTCTATCTACTTACAACAACATAGCTCGACCGGCATGTAAAGCGCCTGGATATCAAGCTGCGCGACCTGCAGAATGATGGCTCAATACCCACTGACCCCCAGATGCCCTCGCTGCTCAGGGACTCTCCTGGGAATTTGGTTCCGCCAGCGTCACAATCGAATACGGGGTCCAGCACACCGCTGCTCCCCGTGTCTGGTAATGGGGGCGGCGCTCCAAATCTCGCCCAGGCAGCTGCCATCGCGCGACTGACAAATGCGACGAATGTGGGCCTCAACTCGAGGATGAACCCATCACTGCAGAACATGCAAACACAAGCCCTTCTAAACCAACAGCGACTGACCAACGCGCAAAGTGCCATACAAGCAAATGCACGACAGGAGCGGGAACTCTCAGCGGGAAGCGACAGCAAGCGTCGCCGGCCGACAGGAAGCATTGGTCCCCTCCCTGCAGCATCTTCAAACCTGGGCCGACAAGGGTCCATAGGGCCCGGGACTCCGAAACCCTCAACACCAGGCTCACGCGCAGGCAGCGTAGGACCCCGACCGCAAAAGAATGCACTCACAGTCAAAAAGGCGAAACCTCAGCAACCGCTGCGCAAGGCGGCCCTTACAGCCAAGTCCGGGGTCAACAAGAAACGGCGCAAGGGTGGATCCCGAGCATCGCCGTCGACAACTGCAGACGACGAGAGTGTGGCAAGTGAGGCGGGCACGGAAGACGAGGACATGTCAGGCATGGGAGGCGGCGATGCAGAGGAGGACGAGTCGGATGACACCAAGTACTGCACATGCCAGCGCGTCAGCTTCGGCGATATGGTAGCGTGCGACAACGACAATTGTCGGTATCAGTGGTTCCACTGGGAGTGTGTAGGTATCAAAGAGGAGCCATTGGGAGACTGGCTTTGTCCAGAGTGCAGGAATCAGGCGCCTTCAAAGATCAAGAGAGCACGTTAGGAACGGGCTTGAGACAAATCTACGCGGGCATTGAGGGTTCACGGTTTGGCACGTGACAGACTAGACAGGTGCTGTGGCTTGGCAGAGTCGCACTTGGCTGATGGCGTGCGGGAGAGGCGCTGAGTGGGAAAAGCCACGAGCGAGTCGCCCGGCATCAGATGGCTCTCTTGTACGTGGTAGTTGCTATACGATATACTGTTCTATACCCCATCAAATTGCGTACTCGCTGCACGAAATTAGCACCGTCTCCACAGTACTGGCCATGATCGCCGGGCCAGACCCGAGGCCCGGGATGGCCATGGTAATCTCCTCGTAAATAGGCTGACTACGGAGGGCCATGCAAGTTGGGAAAAAGGAAGCGTGACCGGTGACAAGACATGCAATGCAGCAAAACAAAGCCAGGCAGGCATAACCGCTCCGGGCTGTCGAGCGGTGATATGGAAACCTCGAGCGGCCGTTCGAGCGCCCTTGCCATGCATCGTCGTCGCCCGCGCGGCGGGCAGCTAGCGCCTAAATCCCCCAGCCAAGGCGCAGGCGAAAGGGGCAGCATCACCGACATTGGATAACAGCAGCGGAAAGCCTCATAAGAGTTGTTGGCCCCGGCTGCCGGTTCCTGCATACTCGTATCACCGTCGCTCTCTCTTCGCACCGCGGCCTCTTTGACTAGACGCTGGCGTGCATTCACACTCCCTTGGCTAGTTGACGCACTGCTTTGTTTGCATCCGCTCCTTCACCGCATCGCACATTCAGATTCGGAACAGTGCCGGGCGTCCGTCGACTCCTACCACGCCTAGAGTTTCACCAGCAGCCTTCCTCCGCAGCCACTCTGCCAGTTCCGCACTGCTTTTGCAAACCTTCGCTCCAGTCTGAAGCCCACTAACACGCTCCGATACGGATACGATCCTGGTTGACAGCGGCAACCCGCGGGGTGAAACGCGACGCAGCCACCATGAATGCCATGAACACGCGCAATGGCGCTCTGTCGCCCCTCTCCACCGACAGCCAAGAGTGGTCGCCCATTACAGGCTACCGGAACATCGCCGGCGACAACCCATACTCGCCCACGATCCCTCCCAACGCATATGGGCCCAGCAACCCCGATGGCGGCATGCTCAATGGTATGCGCCCTGGCACCAGCAATGGAAACCCCTCGCCGCCCAGTTCAGTAGGCCGATCGAGCGACGGCACGGGGCTGTATGCCTCGAGCATAAGTGATAGTACACGCCCCATCATGGATGGTAGGAAGATGCAGGCGCTAGAGGAGACCATGTCGGAACATTTTAGAGTGCTCAAGGCATACCTAGGGCCCTACCTCAATGACGAGAAGGGCAATCCGCGCCCGAGCAGGGCCAAGGACAAGCTGACCAGACTATCTGCTGTCCAGTTCCAGGAGCTCAGCACCGACGTATATGATGAGTCGATACGCAGAGAAACGGACCGCAAGCGGGGAGGGCCAGGTGCGCCTGGCAACGACACTCCCAAATATCTTCTACCCAAGAATAATTTTCATCCCAAGCGCAACCAGGCGAGGCAAAAGCTCTCCACACTGCCTCTCGAGCGCTTCCGTCAACTCGCAACCGACGTCTTCTACGAACTCGAACGGAGATTCCCGCGCTTCACCGGAGGTGACATGCCCCCACGACCCTCGAGCCCCAACGGCAGCATCGCGAGTCGCATAAGTAATAGAGGACCTCCGAGTAGAGGCGGCACACCGAATAGCATGGGCGGACGACCCCCGCCAGGACCGGGCTACAGAGGGCCACCTCCAATGGGCGGGCCCATGGGGCCCATGGGTGGACCCCCAGGAGGACCTCCAGGTCCACCGGGAGGACTGCGGCCCGGTTCAGGGAACGAGCCAGGTTCTTTCGGGCGCCCGCTTCCGAAGACGTTCCAATCCAACACAATTGTGCCAAACAAGGGCACACTAGTCGAAGACGACGACGATAGCGGAGCGGACGATGACGACGCATTTAACCTAGAAGGCGCTGCTGCGAGAAGACAGACAAACAAGAGCGCAAAGAGCATGAGCATGGCGCACGAGAAGATAACTGCGGATTTGCAAAATCAAGTCTCTGAGTTGCAGGGCAAGGTTGACTCATTAGAGGCTACCATACGTAACAAGGACGACGAGCTGCAGCGATTCCAAGACGATGATAGAACACGCGATGGCGCTTCGGCCTCTGAGCGTGCCGAGTGGGACGAACTCCGGTATGCGCTCGAGGAGAAGGTTGAGAAAGCAGAGAATCTCAATTCCTCACTTCGTTCCGAAATAGACAAACTACGCAGCGAAAACGAAAGTGTAGAGAATAGCCTCCGTGCCCAGATCGCAGATCTCGAGTCCCGCCCGCCTCAGCAAGCGTACGATGACGGAGACGCTCAATGGAGACAACGGTGCGAGGAGCTTGAACGGGAATTGAACGAACAACAACAGGTAGCAGAGGAAGTACGGAGAGACGCATCCATGTTCTTGCAAGAGATGAAGGAACTGTCAGCCCGCAGCGATGCCGCAGCCGAGAAGGAAGAGCAGATGGCGAATCAAGTGTCATCATTAGAGGCTGAGCTCAAGGACTGGAAATCGAGATACGCCAAGGCTAAGACGCAGCTTCGAAATTTGAAAGCATCTTCTATGGGCTTATCGCAACTTGCGTCGCCGGACCTGCTCAACTACTCCCGCGATGCAGCTTTTACAACGCCGGACGGATTGGTCAAGGACGTCCATGTTACCAAGTTCCAGCTTAGCATTGATGAGCTGCTTCAAAACGCGCGAAGAGCAAATTCGGAGCAGACTCTCGAGAGTATGCGTCATGTCGTGAAATGTGTACGAGCCATCACGGGCGATATCGATAGCACGTCTCTTTCGCAGATCCAGTCTCCTACCAGTAGTGTGAGTGGCGACATTTTCGCGAGTCCTGAGAAGCAGCAAGCAAAACTCAAGTCTCGCGTCAGTGCTACAGCCAACAACCTCATCACAGCTACCAAGAATCATACTTCATCTGGAGGATTGTCACCAGTCAGTCTGCTGGACGCCGCAGCTAGTCACTTGTCGACAGCCGTTGTGGAGCTGGTCAAGCACGTCAAAGTGCGGCCCACACCGGAAGACGAACTCGAAGGAGATGACGAGGATGCCGATAGGCCCATGCCGTTGAAGTCGAACGTATACAACAACTACAATGCTTCCTCGCCAAGCAACATCAACGACAACACGAATAGCAGCGGTGTCACCTCAGCATACGGTCATCACCGCAGTCGCAGCAGCAAAGGCGGCAGCAGTGATACTACTAGATACAGCGCCTACAGTTCTCCATACAGTGGATACGATGGTCAAACCGGCGGCATGAACGGTGCCAATGGCACAGGCGATAGCGGCATGATTGAGTTCAAGGTATGTTCTTAACAAGCCTAGTAGTCATACCTACTAACGCGTACAGAACTACCTCGAGGATCAAACAGCAACCCTTGTTCAGAGCATACAACCACTAGTTAACCTCATCCGTGCAAACCCCGAATCTACTCCTGGGGATGAGCAGCAAATCTACGATTACATCCAAGACATCTCGCAAGCGGTCGATGACACTGGCAACAAAACCTACGATGCTGTGAACCAGCTTTCCAACCCTGCATTGAAGAAGCATGCGCTTCCCGTTGTAGAGGTGCTTGACGAATGCAGACAAAACATGCTTTCTGTCGACATCAGGGGTGAGGGTCGCGAGAAGATCCCGCCACTTGCGTTCAAGACCGCTAGGGCTCTCAAGGTAAGCTACACAAAAGCAACAGCAACTTGTACACATGCTGATCATAATACAGGAGCTCGTACTTCGCGTAGACCGCATCGAGTCCGGCGAGCTCACTGTCGACCAAACGCTCAAAACAGAGCTATAATGCGACAACTGACACAAACTGATTTTAACGTACGATACGACTACGTCGTATATCTCAGGGCGACCTTTCATTGCAACATGTTTTGCTATTCTTCAGCTTTCTACATCTGGCATGGCGTTTACGGATCCCACGGCCTCATAGCATCCATCAATCTGTGTTTTCTTGGCTACTACCACCAGCAATGCTGGATACCACCTCTTCGATGCGACGTCAGGACACGAGGGCATGCGAGGCTTGGAACCCATTATAGGACATATTATTATTGTTTATTATGACAGTGGTCGGTTTATGATCTTGTGCCAGACTTCATGTAGGCATAGGTTTAGGGCATAGGATAAGCCGTCTTGGATAATCGGCCTATTCAGACTGAACTATGAGGTACTACGAACACGGACGGCTTGTTATATGGTAATATAGCTGAACTAGGAAGAATCTTTAGTTGGTAGTGGAATCACAACACGATTTAGGATGGTCAATCACCGCTACAATCAGTAAGGTGGCTTGCACCTTCCCCACATCAGCGCTTTTTTGGACCCTGTTTTCGCCTCGGCAATTATTGCCAATTGTTTCGCACCATGCGTTCCCACCCTTTCGGACCGTTCCCATGCCTATTGCTCAAGGTGAAGTTGCCCGGCTGTTGTGGTACCAAGGAAACGAATGTAAACGATGACGTCATCATACAGCTGTTACGCGCGTGCGCCTGACGGGGCTGAGACCACATGCCCACGCAGCCACCGCTATTAGGATAGTTCTAGATTGTTGAACCGCTTACACTTGCGCTTCTTCTGAGAGCAGACTTCGATTACCCCTCCAGAAGTCTAGGTCTGTTCAAGCTATACGTCCCACCAGCACTAGAAATCGGAGCAAAGCAAAGAGCAGTCGACAACATGGCGCAACAACTGCAGCCGGCATGGCCTCAACAGAGACCTGCATACAACGATACGATTCTCACCATCACGCACAGCAGCTGTGCGGATCCGTACGTACTCTGGGACAAGGGTACGTATTATATGACCTTTACCTGCGGCGGCCACATCGAGATCTGGTCTGCAGACTCCCTCTTCGATTTCGAAAAGAAGTGCAAAAAGAACGTAATTTGGCGTCCTCCACCAGACCAGCCCTACTCCGCCGATCTATGGGCGCCCGAACTACACTCAATCCACGGTCGGTGGTATGTATACTTTGCGGCTGACGACCCCAAACATGGCAACAAATCGCACCGCATGTATGTCCTTGCTGGACCATCATCAGAGGAGGACCCTCTCGAACCAAGCAAATGGAACTTTTTCGGCCGTCTAGGTGGCCTCCCTGAAGAGCAATGGGCAATCGATGGCACAGTTGTTACGCTCGGTGGTTCCATGCTCTTTGTCTACTCTGGCTGGCCCCTCGGTACGCACGCCGATGAATCTCGCCAGGAAATTTTCATCATCGAGATGGTGTCACCAACAGAATGTACCGGTCATCCCATTCGCATCAGCACACCAGACCTGCAATTTGAGTTTTCTGGTAGCAGCGGCATCAACGAGGGTCCGCAGTTTCTCTGCTCTCCTGATGGCCGTTGGATGGGCCTTGTGTACAGTTGCGCGGGAAGCTGGACACACGAGTACAAGATGAATATCTTGTACTACACTGGCGGTCACCCTCTCGATCCACATTCTTGGGCCAAGTCCAACAAACCTCTTCTCAAAGCCGCTCGCGACGATTCTCCACCCTATGGACCAGGTCACGGAAATTTCGTCCTAGTCAACGGCCCCGGTGGTCCAGAAGTCTGGGGCGTCTTCCACGCTACTGATGCGAAAACGGGATGGGAAGGTCGTAAAGCGCGCGTCATGCGCGTCGGGTGGGGCCAAGGAGGTCCATTTATGGGTTCTGGCGAATGTGGAAGATGTTGTTGTGAAATCGAGCATTTCATCCAAGGTTGTCCTGGGGGCGCTTGTGGAGGCCAAGGTCATTGTGGCGGTGCTGGGGGTGCGGGCGGAGGGTTCATGGAGCCAGGACATCAGGGCGGCAACTCGACGGATGATATCAAGAGGGAGGTAAAGAATCTGATCAAAGGTGGAAAAGGTCTTGTGAGTAAGTTCCTCAAGTGAAGCTTACGGGTAGTAATCACTCAAAAGAAACTGGGGCAATGGTGCCGAGGCATATGGTGATGAACAAGTGCTCGCATACAGGGAGTTGTAGCGGCTGTGGTTGCTTGCGTTTCAACAAATAGATGATACTTTATAGAAGAGAAAATAGTGCGCGAGTCGTAGATACAAGTACTCCGATTCTTTTTCACTCGGTTTTAAACCATTGTATCTCCGTACTCTTGGAATATCAAATCCCGGGCTTCTCCGCACTCGGTAGCTTTGCTCCCGCCTTTACCGCTTGTCGAATTGCGGAGAACGGTGGAATACCGCCGATCCTCCGCGCGAGAACATCGAAAAGGGACTGGTACTACACCTAACGTCAAGCACCACTATAGTCAATAGCACCGCTCGTGGCGCAATTCGTCCCCGAACGTTTTCATGTCATAGTATTTGGTCAAGATGAGAGGTTGTACGGTTATTTGCCTACGACCTAGCCCTGGAGGTGAGAAAGGAGCAAGGATCTGGCCAAGACATGTAGCCAAGTGATCTCAGCACTTTTCGTTGGCTTGTTGCCTTTCACGGTCACTATTCAATAGGTACTCCACTCTCGGGCGTTGGTCCCCGTGGCGTCAAAAGATGGACGCCATACGAGACGAACCCCGCAGGTAGAATCCACTACCGTCCTTCACATGGCGGAATCGGAATACCGCAATTCCGTAACCAATACGTGAAACGCAAAACTTCGGGAATCCGTTTACTCGTTCCGCTAATTCCATGTCTGTTATGCCAGCAACACGAAAGTTCGGGTACTCGTCAACCCGGTGCCCTAATCTGCCATGTTTGCTTACAGCAGTGGATACTTATAAAAGCTGGTTCTCCAGATTCCCGACCATGGCGAATGCAACACACATACAATACAAAAACGTTCGAAGGTACCCGGAACCTCAGCAGGAACTTCTATCACGATGGCCAAAGTCCAAGGAACCTGCGAACCCCGCTTCGCCAAGGTCAAAGACCTCTTCCAGTCCTATCTCGACTCTGGAGAAGAGCTCGGCGCCTCTGTCTGCGTCAACGTCGATGGCAAAGACGTCGTCGACATCTGGGGCGGTTACGCAGATGAAGCTCGAACTCGCTCGTGGGAGAAAGACACTGTAACGTGTATCTGGTCCTCTACCAAGACTGTCTGCGCCTTGGCAGCTCTGGTATGCATCGACCGCGGGCTACTGGATCCATACGAGAAAGTGTCAAAGTACTGGCCTGAATTCGCTGCAAATGGCAAGGAAGGCGTGGAAGTCCGACATTTTCTTTCGCACGCGAGCGGACTGAGTGGATGGGAGGAGTCCATCACTGTAGAAGATATGTGCAACATCGAGAAGAGCACAAAGCTCCTCGAGCAACAAGCGCCCTGGTGGGAGCCTGGTACGGCGACTGGTTACCATGGCTGGACAATGGGTCACCTCGTCGGCGAACTAGTCCGCCGCGTAACAGGAAAGCCGATTCAAGAATTCATTACCGAAGAGCTCGCCCGCCCACTCACCGCGGACTTCCAACTGGGCATTCCCGAAAAGGAGTGGAACAGAGTCGCTGATATAATTCCTCCACCAATGCCCGCAAAACAAGAGATGCAGGCGTTTGCACTCGATCCAAACAGCCTCATGTTCAGGTCTTTAGGCAAGAACCCTGGTATGGACGCCGACTGGGCCAACCAGGCCCTCTTGAGAAACTCTGCTATCGCCGCAGGAAACGGGTATAGCAACGCCCGCGGCCTTGTCCGCCTCCTCTCCGTCGTCTCTCTGGAAAACCGTTCATTCCTCGCCGCCAAAACCATCGACCAAATCTTCTCAACGCAGCAAGAGCACAAGGATCTCGTTATACCGGCGAAGGTTCGTTTCGGACTCGGGTTCGGGTTACCCGCAGAAGGAAGCATGATGGCGAATCTACCCCAGGGACGCGTGACGAGTTGGGGTGGATGGGGTGGAAGTCAGGTTGTTGCTGATGCGGACAGAAAGTTGACAATTGGCTATGTTATGAACAAGATGGAGGCGGCTGGGCTAGGGCAGCAGGAAGGGGGTAAAGGCGGTATGGGTAATACCAGGACAAAAGCGTTTATTGCGGCGGTTTATGAGGCATTTGGGATTGAGTCTTGAGGAACGACCTCTTACTTTAGATCCTGAGGAATTCAAATCCTTTAGCTCTTGGCGTTTTGCTGATAACGTTGTTGCTGCTGGTGCTGGTTGACAACTTGTTTTGGCCATGCCATCCATTCAGCCCAGTACGATCCTAGGCAATCATCGACCACGCCGACAATACTCTTCCCGCAACTATCTGTCCACCAATCCTGAAGAGTCTGCTCTAGTAATGCACCAAAGTAGGCAAAGATGAGTAAAGCCAAAGGCTGCCTTTGCCGCTGTAGCTTGAAGTACTCCTTGGGTACTACTGATAACCAAACAAACGGCTGTATTGATGGAAGAAATATTGTTCATTAGTCAAAGCGTCCATTTGAGATATAGAGAGAAATATCGAGTGACTCACAGCGGACCAGCCACCATTGTATCCCCACTCTTCTTGTTGCGCCTCCCAAGTGTTCAGGAAATGTACCTCCCACGCACTCATCTTTCTTAACAAGTACAATGTCTCATCATAAGTTGCCTTGTTTTCATCGTCCGCCCATGTTTGTTTGATGCGCAACAAGTGCTCGTCGTCCGGCCCAGGGTGCACGTCAGGATCCATAGTATCCCAGTCCTTCAGATGGAGTGTTGATCGCAAAGGTCCCTCTTGGAGGTAGTCGTATACTGAGTGTACCACGGTCCCTACGCCATGGACTAGGGGTATCCATTCTGCACCTAGGATACGCGATGTACGAGCTGAGATGCTGCTGGCATTGTCGCCATCATGCTGTATGTCCATCATTTCGTCTGAAAGTTTAGAAAATGTACAAAAGGCGTATAAGAACATGAGTGTTGAAGTGGCAAATATTGCATCAGCATTTTCTGCACTGATAGAGTAAGTGTCTGCCCTAAACCCGCTAAGCGCGAGCGTGTGGTGATGCGCGGCAATATGTAGGTTTGCGCGTCTATCGTTTGGACGAACATAGGCAATATGTAAGGCTGAGAGACTGATGAGACTATGCATCATGTAAGCGTGGTTATATGCGATTTCTGGGAAAACATCCCGCCAAAGGCGGTTGACTGTTGCCATGCGAGGTAGTATCGAATGGCTCGTGGCTATTGTCCAATGGTGCAACAGGGACATGTCCTTGAGCGAAAATGAGGGGATGATTTTCGTTTCTGAGCATGGTGTGCTGGCCGCGAAAGGATCGTTCCGAGGTGTAGCTAAGTGTAGTATTGCATCTGGAGTTGTTGGTGGCAGTCCAGGAGATGTTGCAGCTGCGCTTGAGCTTTTGGCTCGCGGTGGCACCAACTCTGGATATACACATGCAACTTCATGCCGGACGCAGTGCGAACATCGCGGCTTTCCTTCGTCGCACTATGTCGTGTGTCAGAACAGATGTTCGCATAGGAAATGGGCCATACCTTGATCCGGCGACGTTTACAGGCGCCACAGCCCGTCCGCGATTTTGTGTGAGCTTTTCTCTTCAAAACCATTGGATCTGACCAATTGCAATCCCCGCTTGGCTCGTTGTGTAAGAAAAAGTAGTGAAAGAGGTACGCAGGCGACAGGAGGCTTGAGGGTAAACGAGAAACGAAGAACGAAATACGCAGCGGTGGGGTCTGCGTTAGAACTATTGATGGAAACATGATAAGTCTAACCCGATATGGTTCGACCAACAGGGTTCCGGCTGGTTGTACTAACGGACGATTCCGACCCCTTGACACAACAAGATCAACTCGCAACATCCGCAGGTTATAGTCGTTTATATGACTCGCATACTGGAGACCTTCTTATGTATACGTAATTCATTTGGATCTGGAAAGTGTGCTTTCCAAAAATGTCTAAACCCCATGCCCAAACCCATACCATGACAACCGAACGCCTTGTGAGTACTGGGAATCTTTTTCGCCGCCAGTAAAATGGTACTGCAAAGAGCGCATTTACGTTGATGCCATCAAGCTCTCTCATACAGCCCGATAATCTCGCTATCCAACTTTTTCGCTGCCCCATGGTTCGTCCCGAACACGTCATCTGCACGTACAACATGAAACAAAACCTGAACCACGAACATGGGTAGCGTATCGAAGATATACATGTAAACCTCATGAGAAGCCAGATATCCACTGTGGCCCTGTGCAAACTCAATAACGCGATAGATGCATCGGAGGATGATGACGACGGCCGCAATGGCGAGAAGTTTGTACTACCATACTGTTAGTGTATATTTCCTTGACGAAAAGAGATATATGACTCGAAGTAAGAAGAAGGGTGCAAGAACCATAATGAGAAAGAGACTTACCAAAGCCGGCCACCCATACTTTCCATACTGTGGGATGGTATGTCTCTGTGGCGAACTCCTCATCCTCATATAGAAGATGACACTAATCACCACAAAGAACCCAAAGAACAACAACTGCACAAACAGTCCGAGCAACATGATCTTCTGTCCCATGTCTGTCATGCTAGCCTGCGCCATCATACCTCCACCACTGGCCTGCATGAGGAATGCGAGGACATCACCGCAAACAAAGATCTTGGTTACCCGTGTAGGTCGGATGATTGATGCGTGTTCAGCGTTTACGAAGATGACGAGGCGTCCGTAGATCATGTAGATTGTTGCGGCGTAGAGAGAGGGAGGCAGGATTATGAAGAGCGATTGAAGGATGTAGGTCATCAGTTTGGCGGGGGACTGAGCAGAAAGGTAGCGGGCTGCGTAACCGACCGTCATCACTGGTAGACCGTTAGTTCATGCGAAGTTCTGGAAAACGTGTTGAATGTACGTAAGGGAAAGAGAACGTACTTATTGCTCCGACGACGAATGCAGTGTAAAACCATGCTCGTCCTCTGATCATCTGGAAAAGATGATAGAGTGTACTTAGGCCGAAGAGCCCAGCAAAAAGGATGGCGCCGACCTCACTAGGGGAGTAGGGATAGAGACCATTGTTTCCGGCTTGGGAAGGTGTGTCACCTGCCATTGTGATATTCCGAGGGTACTCTCAGTTGGAGATGTCTAGAAGTGCAGTATAATGGGGTGAAGAGGAAGCGAGTGCCTCTTACAGAAGAAGGGTAATTGCTGTAAACGAACGTAGAAAGAAAGAAAGTCGTGTATAAGAAAATGAACAGATGAAAGCAGATGAAGTGAATGTGTGGTTTGCAAGACTCATCAATATGCATACCACTTCTCCTTATACAACTGAAATCCTGCTCGCAAGTTGCGCCCAAAGTGCACAAGCCTGTGTAAAGATCCACTGCCAGACGAATACGCGGATAGCCCTACGACATGAGACCGTGCGCTCAGGAACAAGATGCGGGATCCACTTTCGCGTACCCTGAAACCCTGCATCGCCCGGCGCTAACGGAATACGATATACGGGCACGATCTAGAAGATTGGTTGTCTCGAGGATTTGATGCCGTACCTCTAAGCCTTCTACATGACGTTGCCATCACTGCGCCACTGCCCAGAAGTACGAAACAGATAATATTGCGACTCCTTACATCGCCGTTCCTCCACTATTCCTTCGGGCGTTCCATATCACGCTTGTACAAGGTAAAGCGATCCATAACCACAGTGATACTCGACTACTCAGGTCGCCAGTGCGCACTCTCAATTTCCGCTTGCGTAAGCCCAACAAAAGCAGACGCATATCTGATCATGAGCCATTGCTCTACATGTAATATGTCTGCGTCTCGCACAGCAAGCGAATCGACCGACATATCGGCATCTTCTAGAGGTAGCAGCGCGGTCGTGCTATAAGCGGCAGAACTCTTCGACACCTCTCCATCTATCGAAGTCTCTGATCGCACAAGTGGGCAGTGATCAAGAGACGGAGGGTCCTTCTGGATAGATCCGTGGCTCTCCGTGTCAGGTGATGTAAGCGATTGTGCGCCCGCAGTATCTGTGGATACATCGGAATTTTGCAAGGACCGGCGCCTTCTTGCATCTGTGAAACCCTTGAAAAGCGCTGACCACGACGTACATTGATCTAGAGGGACTTGATTGTTGTCGTTCCTCAGTTCGGAGGTGACCATGTACGGCACTGGGGCCTTCACCTTCATGGATCGTGGTTCTGCGTCGTATTCCAACGAATTGGCTGATGATACTGGAACGTTTGCTTTAGCTGGCAGTGGTTTCGCATTGAAGGGAATATGGCTTGTCGTATTGGGTACATCTTTGCCGAGGTTGCGATCATTCTTGCGCTGCTTCTGCTTCTGCGGCAAGTCTTTGCGCACTCCAACCTTTTGCCAACTACCCACGGATTTTGCGTGATCCTCTTCTTCGAAATTTGGAGTGTCACCACAACTACCATGAAGTGTGCGCTTCTCAGCTGATATTCCGATGTACACGTTTGCTGCGGATACCTTGCTCTTTTGCGCTGCAGCCTCTTTGTCGCTTGAGTCTTCCCGAGCGGGACCTTCCTTGACTGACGTATTATCAGTGGGATCTCTAGCTGACGTCAAGCAGACGCCATCATCATCATCATCATCATCATCAGTACTGCCACAATCGTCGTCCTTCAATACTTCTACCATTGTCGTCCTCATGCTAGTGGCATTGCCGCTGCTATTAGCGTTGTTGCCTACGACCGATCGCTTGTACTCCTCCGCGACAGACGACTCCGATCGCTCAGCAGCTCTGAGTTTCTTTAGCTTCTTCTCCATACTTTTCCTGTCCTTCTTCGATGGCTCCCGCTCGCTCTTCTCAACCGGCTGTTGTACTGTAGGTAAAGACGGAAGTATCTCGACAGTGGCTGCAGAAGATTGCTGCTGAGATACCGGCTGCTCCCCAGGTACTGGTTGAGTCTCAAGCGGGTGGTGCTTTGGCAAAGCTGGATCTTCCACCGGCTCAACATCCCTATCACCCTTCGATTGACTCTTCCTTTTCCTCTTCGATCTTTTCTTTTCACCTTCTTCGACGGTCCCTTGCGATTTCGAAAGATTGTCCTTCCGCTTCAAGACTAATGGCCGCGACTGCGGGTATTCCAATGGCACATCCTCTCGGATATGCCTGTAAAAGGACTCCCATAAAATCAGACTTGGCGTTGACATCGGCTTAGTACTGTATTGAGGAAAGTGTTTTGCGTCGTAAGTGTTGTACATCTGAACAAGGCTGTGCCACAGCGTCTCCACTCCAGGATGCCTGTGTTGTAGGTAATCGAACAAAGTTTTGCGGGCTTTCGCGCCATCCATACTTAGCTCGTGTATGTCGTGTAGGTCGTGCAGAAGTTGAGCATCGATCCAGATCAATGATGAAGAGCCAGTAGCTAAAGGACGAATATAGACCTCAAGCGCCTTGAGCGCATGGCCAAGTAGGGGACCGACAAATTTGAATTGCGGATTGTGCAGTATAGCACGACAATGTGCTGTCGCATCTCGCTTGACTCTCTCGCGGATCGTCGTAGGTATCTTCTTGTACTTTTCACACGTTACACGATTTACCTATACCGTTGCGTGTACTGCACACCATAAGACTTCGAAGGGCTCCAGGTCGGGTCGTGTGCGGGTCAGAAAAATGATAAGGTCTGCGATGTCTGCAGCGTAACGGAGAGCCAGAAATTCTCTGGCGTTTTTATACTCTTCGTTGAGAGCTGAGGCTACCTGCAATGGAATGCCACCAAGCAGGTTACGTGCTTGAAGGAGCTGTAGAACATTGTCGGTCATATGATCTGCAGGAAGGAGGAAATTGAAAAAGATGATGGCAGGGTCCATCGTGGCATTCCAGATGACTTTGTCGCTATCGATCTCGAACGAGCCATCCCAAAAGCCGCAACATTCCTTGTTGAATATTGACATGCTCAGAACACAATCCCTGGCCCGTGATTGTGGATTCTCTAGTTCTAGGGGTAGAATGTCTATGAATGAGATCATCACATGATACTATCTGTTCAAATCCCTGTTCCCTACGCTTGAGACGGCTTCTGAATTCATGATGACAGGATTTTGGCTCAATGTATCCTTGTATTCTGCAGCCTCCGGTGGTGGGTCTTCAGATGATGGGTGGCCAGAAGATGTGTCGCCAGGCAGCGGCGGTTCGACGGTTGGCCCGCCAGTCGCGCGTTGGGCCTTTTTGTAGAGGGCATTGCGGTATTTCTCCTGTATTTTGAGGTAGGTGAAGTTTTCGACGGGCAACGGCCAATATTCGTCGGCAATATAGCGGCATATCCGCAACTCGAGAACACCTCGCTTGGCCTCTGGAATACCGTCTAGGTAGTCTCCGATGAACTTGCCTATTGGCAGCAGTTTCTCATTAAGAACCTGAGCATGCGACCTGGTAGCAAAGTCCAAGTTGCCTGGCGGCAGACTCTCGGGCGTGAGCGCCTTCAGCTCCTGCAGGTCTGCGAGAATGGGTGCTAATATATGGCTTAGTGAAGTGTGAGAGCCTTCGCGAGCTTGCGACACCATCTGCGCTCTGTGGCGGTCGGCGTCTGTGGACGGCAGGAATCGATTGATGTTGCGGGATAAGTTGCTGAGTCTGAGCGAACGGAGAATAGAATGCATAGGATCTGAATCGAGTGTAATTGCTGGAAGCGAAGGGCTACGAATAATCGATGGTTCTGCGACGGTGAAAGAATCGTTGTGGTCCATACTCGAGGTCGGCGAATAGCTGCATCCCACCCCTTCATCGTGGAAGTCGCTCTCGGACAGGAGTAGCGGCCTCGCATCCAAGGCTGCTTCCTCATCCGCAATCTCAACACGCGGGCCAAACGCCCATCTTATCCCATTCATTGAAGCGTCTTCCATTGTTTCCCAAGTTCGGGTGAGCGCAATGAGGACGATGGAGAGGACGGAAGATAAGTTGCGGTTCAAGCAGTCGAACAGCATTGGCTTGCTAGATGTGACTTGCTATCGGGCCACGTGCTTTGTTGGGAAGGCGTGATTGAGGGAGACGGTTTGAGCGAGGAGGTCGCGACTGTAAATTAAATCAGCGTTTGTTTGCTCGGGCGCGAGTGGGTACGCGAACAAACGCGAGATATCCCGTAGCTAAGTAGATAAAGATAGCGATGACAATGACAGAGAAAATGTACGAAAGGAAGGTCGGGTACAGAAGTTGATTTTCGGGCCCCCAAGAACAATGGAATGTCTGCAAATAATATAATACAATAAATGTGTTCAACTTGGTAAGTATGTCTTACAAGATCGCCGACTCACCCGCTCGTGTCCTTATACAGTGGCGGGTCGCTGGACCTTCCTGTCGCCTCTTCTGCAGAGACAAGACGAATCTTTGTCTTCCATGACGCCCATACGGGCTGGGCATCTTTGCTGTATGGATGTTCGCTATCATGCAGATTGTCATCTAGGATAGCTGTGAGCCACCAAGGCGTGAGATTTCTGAGGAATTGTGATGAGATGATTGTATACTACGGTTAGTGCGAAATCCCTCGGCCCTCTCTCCAGCCTATGGGTATAAGCGCTGCTGCGACCTGCCCTACACCCCTTTCCGTTGCGAGTAGGTTGAACTGCGCGGCCGCGTTCCTAGTATCTTGAACTTCTAGTCGTATGCCCAAATCGTTGAGGTATTTGCGAACCGCAGGCGCAAGGGGGATAGTGTTGGGGCCGGTGCCGACGATGAGCAGATCTGCCGCGCCATTGTCAGTTTCCATTCTTGCCAAATCCTTGTAGGGAGACCCTAAACATACCAGGCTTTGGATATAGCAACTCCAGCACTCCCCAAGCCCGCTCCTGCACTTCCCATTGGCCCTTTGCATTCAGCAGTCTGCCCGTCATCATATCATCTCCTGTGCCTCCTCCAGCAACAGTACCTTCTTTCCTTCCTTCGCGTAGCCATGGCTGCCATCGATATGCTTCACCGCCTATTAAGAGAATTCCGCACCCGCTAATGCGCATCTGATTGTTGAGTGCGAAGCCATCGCCTGTGCAGGCATCGATTGACGTAGCAGGCGCAACTGTATTTCGGAGGACGTCGAGAGCGCTGAAGTCAGTCTGTGTGTCTTCATCACTTTTGGGGCCGCGATCGCGCGTTTTGGGAGGTTTGGATTGGAGAAGGGCGGGGCGTGTCGTGTGTAGGAAGCGTGCTTGTCGTGCTGATGCGACGGCCGAGGGCTTATGTTTTGGCAGACTACGACATGATGTCTGCGCTGTACATCTTGAAAAGAGACGCGTGCATTGCAGTAGGCTTCGCTCCATAGTCGTTATATGCAATTGATTGTTGTGGCGTATCTCTATGGACAGACCGAAAGTTATGCTAAAGGCCATGATCGATGCTGTCATCGATGCACAAGAGAGCTTGGACCAGCCAACAAGCGAGGCGTCTTGATACAGCGTGCCTCGCCTTACACTCCCCCGCTCGTCGCCTGCTCAGAATCATGTACAGATGTATGCCCGTGTGACCATTCCATACAACGAGCCTTGTGGCAGCATGACTCTCCAACCGATGCACGTGTGGACCTTTGTTCCTGTGCCCGCTATTTCACCCCTAGCTACCCCTTGCGACACCTGTTGACCATCAAGCAGGCAGTGGTGCTTAGCAGCCTCTATTGTCTCATCGACGGGCATGCCAGATATCTTCACATTCCTCTTCGTCGTCTGAGTCGAATGTTGAAGGAAGTTCCGTACAGTCCAATCCCTCGGACGCGAATTCCTCCGCCAACGTCAATCTTCTCTCCATCGATCTTGTCTCAAAGGACGCTGTGAGCTCTGAACTGGTGTTTACTCGTCTCGGCGCTTGCCTGAAAAACTGGATAGGTGCTGTGCTCGTTTTCGGTCTGGCATCCTCATCTTGCTCGCTCACTTTCATCCAGCTCATGTCTGTTCCTCGCCTTCGCTCGCGATGGTCATGGACGCGAAACTTGACTGGCTGTACGATGGGCTTTGGCTGATCTGCGCCCAAGTAGCACCACTCGCCTGCCGGAGGGTTGTAAGTGGGCGTCATGCCGCGATCTCTCAAGAGGTCTGAGGCTTTCAGTTCCCCAGGCGGTGTGATTCGCTCTGGTGCCGTGCTGAAGCCACTCCAATGAGGTAAACCGATAGCGCGGCAGCTACGAGGCATGGCTGGCAGGTTTATCGTAGGGCCAAGCAGCTCGCGTAAATACACATTGCTGGAAGAGGATGTCTTACACCCAAGCAGAAAAAATTGCGTGCTGTCGCGCTGGTGGATACACAACCCAGATTCTGGCTCGTACGGGAAGCAGTCTTGTGAGAACATACTGATCTGTTTCGCTCAAAGCGAAGAATTCCGTGGTGTTTTGATTGCCTTGGAGACTTGACTCACAGTTCACCTTACAAGTTTGCGACTCGAGTTTGGTGTTTGGAGCAGTTGGAAGCCGAGGTTGGTGAGTCTGGGTCGGTATTGTGAAAATTTTCGCTGTCATGAGTTGTAGAACTTTCTGGTGAAGGAGAAACAATACGAGTGGCTGGTACTAATTCTCTATTGCCCTGGTTCATTGTCACCACCCATGGTATGTGGTTGCGTTCACCTGTCAAGCGTCCAATAGGACAAGGTCAAAATCAAAGCCATACCGCCACGTTCACTTTTCGGTGACAGCGTCGACAAGCAGGGCGTTATATTTATGACCTCGTGGAGAATCTCGGGAAGAGCAGAGGATGAGTTGTGTGGTAGCTGTTCGTTGTACGGCGCGGAAGCAAACTGCGACGGGCACTCACTGGCGCCTGCTGTTTGTGCGCGTTTCTGGAAAGCTCCCCACGAGGCCCCAAATCATTCAATCGGAATGGAACACTCACAGTGTGCTACTTGTGCACCACTGTCATTGGATCCGCTACGTTTGATTCATCGCATCGCCAGCGACGATTAGCATTCACTCCATACCGTAGCTAAGCGAGGGACTGAAACTTGGTGCTTGAGTTGCCATTTCCATTTCCACTTCAGCACCCTCTCCACGCATGTCGTTTTGTTTGGGCATGCATGAGACACTGTTTTAGGTGGTAGAGATGTCTTCTCGATTTCGCGAGTTCTGCGACTACCAAGAGTTGTAGACTTGTTGCGTCATTTATCACGGGAACTCGCGTCGCGCTCCTGCGCTCCTTCCATATTTAAAAAAAAAGACTCTCTCACTTCTCTGGACGTCGCGTCTGCCTAATCAACTATACTCAACCCAGCAGTCAGCGACTTGACTTATTCCCGCCCAACTCGATACGCTACAGCAGACATGCCTTCTAACGGGTATGTGTTGTCCTAGATCACTTTGTCAGTCATCTCGTGTTTTCTGACCGATCAACAGACGCAGAGGCCACATCTTTCCGACGATTAAAGGCCGGAAGAGTAACAGCGGCAAGAGGAGTAACAGATCACTCAGCGATAAGAGTACGACCGAGTTTGGGGTCAATCGTTGCTGCCTCCTCGAGTTGCCTGCTGGTATGTCCCTCTTTTTTCTGCCTACATTCCCGGTGGCTAATAAGCCGCAGAGATTCGCAATCGCATATACCACTTCACCAAGGAGAAGGTGTATGATGAATGGCTGACACCACCACTGCTGAGTAAGAAGTGTCCCTGTACGAACTGTATGTGAGACAAACACTGACGTCGCACGCGTCCCTTTTAGGCAGGGGCCACAAAAATCCAATTGGAGGCACTGTCAGCCCAAGTCAACTAGGCACTCTGCGCTATCGTGCATTCACTCAAGTCTGCCAGCAGATTCGGGCCGAGTTCCGGCCTATCTGGCTTCGCCAATCGTGCTTCCGTATGGAGCTCCCAGCAGTTGCTCAATTTATCAAAACGTACTACCCTAAAGTCACGGATTATCAGAACGCCCCGAAGCTTCTACTGATTTCTTGGGATCATGGACTCATTGAAGATGAGTTTGGAGAAGTCTATGAAGACTTTGACGGCCTTGACGAGGATTCGATGGAGGATGTTCTGACAGACATCACGCTCCTGGTCCGTCTGCGCGCGCATTGCCCCACCTTTACTGCCAAATTCGTCTCCCGCCGGGTACTCGAAGACGATGTGCCGAACTGCCCATGCGGTGATTGTGGACATAGTATTCATTGCGCATGCGATGACTACTGCGATCACGAAGACGCTTTCGATATAGCACGCTTGGAAATGGAGGAGAGCTATCGGTACTTGAAGGGACTAAACACATTTCTCAGTAACAGCAACAATTCCTGGCTCAAGATCTTCCGCGACACCGTCCGTGTAGGTACTCTCGTGGAGTTCACTTTCGACATCAACACTCAACATCCCACTGTCTTCATTCGCTTCCCTCAAGGTTGCGCTCCTAAAGGATTTCATTTGAAGAACATGTACAGCTGTTCTCTAGTCCTTCTCGACCGCCTGGGTATGTTGGATCTCGAGCACTACGAGCTACTTGACTATGTTATCGGCGAAGCAACTGGCAAATATACGCTTCATGTGGGCGAACATGGTTTACAGGTACACTACAACCAGATTCACTTTGATGGACGTACCATCGCCAGCTGGAAGAAAGGGAAGGAGGCTAAGGCATCGACTCCCTAGAAGCCTCGCTATGAGTTGAAGTGGCTCGTATCCTATCTTGGGTCGAAGCTCTGCTTTCCTCAGTCGTACCCATTAAGGATTTACCTGGATCGTATATGCGCCGAAGAGAGTTCACATCCTAATACATAAATAGCCGCGTTTATGTCTATCTCAAGCTTAGCTATCTACGTCACGCTTCAATCGAGACAAACTTCTCGTAAAGACGATGGTCCTTGTTTCGACGTCAGAGAGTGTACAGACGCGCTTGCTGAAATTCGGTTAACCCCTTTTCTCCTATGAAATTGGATTCGACATCGATGACTGATGTTCTCCTGCAGCTGCAAACGAACTTGCAATGTGTATAAGCAAAGTGTGTGAACTTGGTCAATGCGCGCTCTGAGCAGGGCACACCTCGGCCGGTTCGAGCCGGCCGAACTAAGGCGCGTCCTGAACACCCCACCGCCGTCAATCTTACCACGCATGTATAGGGTATACACCTACAATGATCACTAAACCCAATAGCACCAATACCCCTACGCAAGCGGGGAATATGGCGTAGAGTGATGCATCTGAGCTTGACGATGCGCTCGGTCACGCTACGCTGTCACGATCGACTTGTTGACTAACCAGCGCCGAACGCTTGTATCGATGTTTCCTCCGTTTACCAGGCGGATTACTCAACTTTCACAGCCCACAGAGAACCGCTCCGTCAGATTCTGCCTCCTCGAGAAGCTTGTTTGAGCCGCTGTGACGTTTCCAACAGTGGGCGCTGCGCGTGTTACGATGTGGCGCAGGTCTTACCGATTGGAGTGGACGGGTCGTGTGGCCCCGCCTCGGCCCGTCCGGTGAAGATATTCTAGACTGGCAGAGGATGCGCACCCTGTTCGAGCTAATTTCCATGAAGGACTTCGGTCGACAGTTCGCACGAGGCGCAGCATCGGTATACCGCTGTGTTATCGTACACCAAAAGTCGGTAGCCTATCATGTGGCTAGCACAGCCGAGCTGAACTCAATCCTGCTGACTACCCACAGCGTGATGCCTAATCGGACCCCATTGGCTGCAATTATATCCTCTAGGCCCTCTGTATCCCTGTGGGGTCAGCAACTAGGCAGCATCAGTTGGTAAGGCTTCGGTGGAGGGCTGCTATGGGAGGTCGACATAACAAGGCTGACAAGTCCTGGGATGTGGTACTCCCCAGGGTATATGTAGCTCAGCTCCTCTCTCCAGACATGAGCAGCTGAGACACAAATTTCTTGTCGTTTCTTACCTCTGCATTATCACTCAAGAATTTGTTTGTTACCCTAATTAATTTGCATATTACCTGGCAGGCTTTGACGATGGCCTCCGAACCATCGGAATCCCTCCCTATTCCTCAGCCTCCCCCTCACTTGTTCGTGGGTAATTTCGCTGAGATCGATCCCAATGATGCGCCAGGATCTTTTCAGCGGCTTGCGGACATCTATGGCGAGATCTACCAACTCGAACTTCCAGGACGAGATGGCAAGCTCATCGTTGTCTCTTCGTATGATACGATAAACGACTGTTGCGACAGCGAGAGGTTCGAAAAGCCCATCAATGCAACCCTGGAGGAAGTACGCGCATTGACTGGAGATGGTTTGTTCACAGCCTACCCTGGCGAAAAGGTACGTAATGAACATTCGATCTTATCGTATACACATTAATAGAGGACTCAGGCCTGGGGTGTTGCACATCGGCTACTGATGCCGGTGTTTGGACCGATGGGGATACGGAAGATGTTCGACGGCATGATGGACATCTCAACACAAATGCTGCTTCGATGGGACCGTTTCGGTCCAGAGCACGAGATAGAATGCAGTGATGATTTCACAAGGTAGCCATCACACCCTTCTCGCACGACCTGCCATTCTTTACTAATACCTTCGAGGTTGACATTTGACATGATCGGGTTGTGTGCATTCGGTTACAGGTTCAACAATTTCTATACCGACCGCGCACATCCCTTCGTAGAAGAGATGGTCGAGGTTCTGATAGAGTCCGGAAGAAGAGCCACCCGCACGTCTGTCGAAAATAAGCTTCGTGTCTTTGCCGAAGCTCATCGGCAGGAAAACGTGAAGAAGATGCACGAACTGTGCGACCAGATCATTGCAGACCGGATTGCCCACCCTCAGCCAGATGCTAAGGATCTACTGAACCCTATGCTTGAAGGTGTCGATAAGGAGACAGGAGAAAGGATGACAAAAGAATCTGTAAGGTACAACATGGTGACTTTCTTGGTCGCCGGGCATGAGACCACAAGTGGAACCTTAGGGTTCTTGTTCTATCACCTACTCAGAAACCCAGAGAAGTATCTGAAGGCTCAGCAAGAAGTTGACGAAGTACTTGGCGACGGACCGCTTGAACTCAAGCACATCCCGAAGCTCACCTACATAAAGTTCGCAATCTACGAGGCATTGCGTTTCCTTGGCCCCATTGCAATCAATGGAAAGCACTCGTTGAAGCCTACTAAGATTGCAGTAAGTTCATTTTCCCAGCGATACGATTGGTGTGCTAATGGCAACAAGGGAAAATATCAGGTGCAGCCAAAGGACCAGATTCTGATGAACCTAAAAGGACTCCATCATGACCCTAAGGTCTATGGCGACGATGCTGACGTGTTTCGGCCCGAGCGTTTTCTCAATGGCGGTTGGGAGAATCTTCCTCCAAACGCATGGAAGGCTTTCGGCGATGGAATACGCGCTTGCATTGGTAGGACATTCGCTGAGCAGGAGATGATCATGGTTGTCGCACTCATTTTGCAAAAGTTTCAGGTTGAGCTAGCGGATCCTGGTTACCAGCTTCGTATGTGTATCATTTTCCTGATGTACAGGAACACTGCTGATCCAACTATTCAGATGTCGCAGTCACCATCACGCAAAAACCGAAGGATTTGAAGATCAAAGTGCGCAGGCGACCTGGACGTACAATGGCTAGTCTGGGTGGCGCTGGTACCAGTACCACTGCTGCCAAGAAGGATGATGGCGATGGATTCGGCAAGACTGAAGAACCAAATGCACCTACCAAAGATGCCAAGCCCATTACAGTACTCTACGGTTCGAACGCCGGTACATGCAAGTCCTATGCCGAGGACTTAGAGACCAATGCTGGGCGATACGGATTCAAGGCAAACATAGGCAGTTTGGACTCAGCCACTGAGCATATTCCTAAGGACCAGCCTATCGTCATTATTGAACCGTCTTACGAAGGCAAGCCAGCTGACAATGCAAAGAAGTTCACCGCATGGCTTGAGAGCAACGCAAACTCCAAGCTGCTTGAGGGAGTTCAGTATGCTGTCTTTGGGGTCGGAAATAGCGACTGGACTCATTCGTATCACCGTGTTCCCAAACTCACCGATGAGTTGTTCGAGAAGATGGGCGCGAAACACTTTACTGAGACCGGTTTCGTCAATGTGAAAGAAGATATCATGGGTCCGTGGGAGAAGTGGTCTGAACAAATGTGGAGTGATCTTCGCAAGTCGAGTGGCACTACTACTGAAATACTCGGTGGACAGCTTCAGGCCGACATCACACCTCCGAAGTTTGCCACGTACCTCGGAGGTAAAGAAATCGGTTACGGTGAAGTTAAGGTCAACAAGGATTTGGGTGGCGGCGAGGTCGGCCTTACCAAAAAGCACATGGAGATTGAACTTCCACCGGGGACATCATATCGTTCAGGCGACTATATGGTCATCCTGCCGCTCAACAGCATCTCCAATGTCAGACGGGTGATGAAGCGCTTCGACCTGTCACCTGATGACAACATCCATATCACTGGAACCAACAAGACTTTCATCACAACCGAAGCACCAATCTCGATCTTCGATCTGCTGATGACACGTGTGGAACTGGGTACGCCGATCTCGCAAAAGCAACTACAAACTCTTGCAGAGGCGACACCGGAGAACAAACGGGCCAGACTATTGGACCTAGCAAATGACGAGACGTACAAGAAAGAAGTCATACCCAAGCGCTACAGTATTCTTGATATTCTCGAAGACCATCCAGACTGTCAGCTACCTTTTGCGGTTTATCTCGACTCACTCAAACCACTGTCTCCTCGTCAATACAGCATTTCGTCATCGCCCCTCGCTAATGTTGAGTTTGTCCAGACAGCTGAAGGAAACGCTAGCCAGCGTCTGACTGCATCTCTGACTTACGACGTCCACGACGAGGCTGCATGGAGCGGTGATGATCGCCGCTTCCACGGTGTCGCATCTACATACCTAGCACGTCAAGAGCCGGGAGAGAAGATTCGTTGCTTCCCGCGTCCGACAAACATCAATTTTCACCTACCTTCCGACCCGACTGTACCCGTTATCATGATATGTGCAGGCTCAGGTCTCGCTCCCATGCGGGGCTTCATCCAAGAGCGCGCAACCATTAAGAAGGCTCGTAACGCGAAGGTCGGTCCGGCGATTTTGTACTTCGGCTGTCGTCATTACGAGAAGGACTTCATCTATTCTGATGAGTTGAAGCAGTGGGAGACCGATGGCGTCGTCAGTGTGCGTGGCTGTTTCTCGAAGGTCGCTCCTAGCGGTGAGAAAGCGCAACGTGTGCCTGATCGCATGTGGGACGAGCGGAAGGAGTTAGCCGAGCTATTTGGGGACGGAGGCGCGAAGATCTTCATCTGTGGTAGTGCAAGTAAGTTGGCAAAGAGCACAGCAGAAGTGTGCATGAAAATCTTTAGGGATACTTTCCCAGGCAAGACGGAACAAGATGCCTTGGAGTGGCTGGAAAAGATCAAGGAGGACAGGTACGTGAGCGATGTGTTCGAGTAGAAGAGTTTCATAGTTTAAGCTGTTCTCTTGGGATCAGAGACTCCGAATTTCAATACTGTATCTAGTAAATATTTTGATGCGCTTTGAATCTTAGCGTCCTCCGATTGATTGTATTAGCGGCACCATGAATCAATCAATTCTAGAACAACATGCGAAACCTCTTACCCGTCCCGCTGTAAAAGCGATGAAACAGGATGGCTGATCTTGGTAACCTTGGCAGCGGAACAATATGCACAAGATAACGCGGCGGAGAAATATGCTGCCAAGAAACGTCTAGCGGGGTGAATCAACCCGAGTAGGCTGCATGTTCACGTGGAGCCATGGAGTCGCGTGATGCGCGCAAACGAGGTTTTGCGGGGGATACGCACCCCGGACGATCACTTAAACTGTAACCATGAGGTACAGGGAGTAGATGCACCGAACTGGCTGTCGACAACACACAACATCGTGTATGCAGTAATGCGGAAGGTTTACGCAAACGAGACAAGTATCGGATGCTACCGCAATATGGATATGTTCTGGGGTAGTACAGTGGTGGAGATTTTCTCAAACATGCCGGGAAGTAGTTAATCTGCCGAGCTTGGAAATATCTGGGGTTGCTAAAACTATGAAACGAGAGTGGCGCGGGCGCCAATAGTCTTGGACGACATGGTATCGTTTGAGAGCCTGGTATGATAGGTGGTATATCCGGATACTGGTGTTTGTAATTGATCGGCAGGACTACGGCAAAGACTACTTTGGGAGATGTTTGTCTGACAGTGACGAGTGGGCCGCTTATTGGCATACTTCGCTGTTTTGCATCTGACTCCGAAATGGTGAAGGCGGTCCGATGGAGGTCATATCGGAGTCTTGGTGTTATTTGGAGAGGAGAAGTGCAGAAGTGAAGGATCGTCGCCGTACTTTCGGTCCTATAAGAAGTGCGCCCCTGATGATCTGTCAATGGTACCAACCATAGCATATCTTCTCTGTTCCTTTCCCTTCGTCCAAGCGATAAACATGGTTCAATTCACTGGTCTCACGGCGGTGCTGGCGCTTGCCTCCGCTGCCTATGCTCAATGCGGTTCCGGCACACCCGACGCACGAGTCACTGGATCCGGTAGCTCTTACACAGCAACCAAGGGCTCGACAAACCTCTACACTGGCTCCGACTACCGCCTAGCTATCCAAAGTGCGCTCGATGGAATCAGCAGTGGACAGCGTGTTTCCGTCATCGCGTCCGGTAACATTGGCGCGAGCACCCTTACCATCACGAGCGGAAAGACGTTCGAAGGCTGCGGGACTATCACAGTTTCTCCCAAAAGCGGAGGAGGAAACATTGAAGTGACCGATCAGTCTGGCGTCAAGATCCCTTATTTGACCATGGCCGGTTCCACCTACTTTGGCATGCGCTTCTCTGGCACCAAAGACCTAACCCTAGGCACCATCAATTTCAATCTCAAGGAAGGGATGGGAATTCGATTCGACCGTGACCGAGCGGCCAACACAAACGTCAAGATGGGCACCATCACCTGCACCGGCGGCACGTCGCACTGCGTCGAGACATGGAACATCGACAAGCTTGAAGTCGGCTCCGTAATCGGCAAGAATGTCGGAGAGTGTGGCCTACTCGTTCAAAAGGTTACAAACGCAAATATCGGCACCGTAGACTGCGACAACTGCGGCGCAGGCACCGGATACGCCGCCTTGCGTTTTGCTAACGAAGCTGGAAAGCTCAACGGCGGATACGCAACTAATATCAAGGTCAACCGTGTCAAGGCTCGTGGTGGTGGTCGCGGAATCTTCTGTGTCTCTGCTTCTGGTGGTGTGGAGATTGGCACCATCGATGTCGCCAACACTGGCAACAACGCCATCTTGCTCGAGAACTGCTACAATGTCAACATCAAGGCCGGTACCGTTAGCGGGGGTGGTGAAGTTCGTCTTGCCGCCAGGACCGAATTTGCAAACAGCAGGGACATCGCGATAGCCATCAAGGTTGATGGAACTACTGTGAGAGAGAGCCGTAAGTATCCCCATACGAACTACAGGTGAAACACGTACTGACTTGGTATACCTGGATCTAGCTTGCACAGCTAACAAGACTAAGTGGAGTCTTACTGGCAACGGTGGGAGGACCATCTGCACCTAAGTCCTCCCTAAGCTGGTCTTGAGCATCTCGTAGTGCTCTCTCGGGAGGGCTGAACTGTGCCATATTTGCGACTTCATTGTATATATTGACAATACCAAGTACATACATACCTTCATCTCGAAAACCGATGAGCTTCGCTAATGGTGTGGGTTTTGGTCTATCTTTTCCGTTTATGACAGTAAAGCGACGCCTGTAGCCAAAAGGCTGACAGCTAAAGGATAAGCTAGTGTAACTCGAGGTCAACTGTGGCAGAAATAACGACGCTTCAAGCAGGACTTCCGTTGTACTTTGGTTATAGTCGGAAGGCTATACTCAGTGAGGCGAAGTCCGGTGAGACGGTTGGGGCGTAAAGGCTTACGTGCTTGAGATTACCTGCTACCATGTCAGCCAACCGTTGTAAGCGTCGAGTGTTACAAGGCTGAGCAGACTCGCAAACCTCGCTTGTTGCTCAAGCTCGGTGTTTGGTTCGCTGTGTCTCACTGGTGGCAGTCAAAATCGATGAAAGTTAGCCCCCAGCGCTTTGCGAGCGGTGGTAAGCCAATCTTTCAAAAGGGGCCTGTTACTTGGTACCAAAACCAGCTCGAATCTCGTCTTCTCGGTTTTGGCTCTTCAGTCATTCCAGCCTCCTGTCGTGTCGCGCTACGTAGTCGCCGTACTTCTACTACAACATCACACTTTCCTGCAGGAAGCGATGGCAGCCTGCTATTGGCGCAACGGAACTGAGAATACGCATCCTGCGTACGCACCAAGAATTAACGATACCTCGAATCCACTCAGCACCATTTGCTGCGCTTCTTGGGATAACTTACTACCAAACGGACTGTGCCAGAATAAGGATTCGTCGACCATCTATCGAGAAACGTGTACGAAGAGCAGCTGGGAAGGAGGAGGATGCCAGGAGCTTTGCTCAGCGGAGGTACACAAGGCACGGCGTTTGTATAGGCCACTAAAGCTAACTTGAAAAAGAGCCCTTCGCAAAGAGACAACGATGAAATAGTCACACCTTGTACTGGTGCTGCTGATTCGGCAACATGGTGTTGCGGATCTTCGAATCAATGCTGCGCTGAAAGGAGCACTATCCCGCGATACACGATCGCGGCGCGTTTCGGGGACCCTATACCTACAGCGACTTCATCGATTGTCTCTTCAACCATGTCGTCCATGATCTCGTCTTCGATATCGACGCTGCCAGCAACGAGCACGGCGATAGCCACCGGCAACAGTGGATTGTCTGTGGGTGCGAAAGCTGGCATCGGTGTCGGGGCAACCCTCGGAGCTATCGCCTTGATTGGTTTGGGGATTTTCATTGCTCAGGCGTTGCGATGGCGCAAGAAAGCGCGAGATGCGACTCCCTCGACTCGTGTACCTGAAGAGTACACGCCAAAGGACATTTATCGATACGAACAGGGTGGCAACCCTGCACAGTTAGCCGGCGGGGAAAGTGAACTGCACGAAATGCCAGGATCTGTGAGGGTTTCCGAGCTAGATCAGGTTCCTTACAGTCGTCCAGTGGGCGGACTTGCTGCGAAAGCTTGATGCGTAGCGGATGCGCGTCGATTAGCGGGGGCGGGGACGCCCAACCAACAGGCGTGGATGTAAAGTAAAATTTAGAGTTGTGAAGGCGGCGGGATGGCTGACGCTAAACGTCGGCTTGTGGATCAAGAGGGAGGAAATTCGACCCTGGGCATCGCCGTCCAGCCACCTCTTCGTCCACTTGCATCATCGCTGTCACATTGGGGTTGGCGATAGTCTCTACTGCCGCCGATCGCGTTCTTCGTGTCTTTTATGTACCCTACTATTTAGAGAGCGACAGTCGGGTCTTCAGACCCCAAACACTACGTCATTCAATGCCGCTAATCGGCTTGCTTCACGGAAGCCGTCATCGTCCGAGATTCAGTTCTTCGTAAGCCGACTCAGGGGCTGCATACCTTGCAGAAACGGTGTCGATTGTCACTCTTGATCTCCAAACGATGTGCTATTCGGATATCAAACGTTTGTGGCTAAGTGCTGCCCGAACGAGGCAAGGCTGATATGTTGAGAGCATAGAGCGTGAACAACAGACCTATCACAGATTGAAGAGTAAGCGCTTGACAGGGTATCCGCAATGCACGATAGTATATATTTGCTTGGCCTCGAATAGCCGTTGGGTAAAAGTAGCAGCTTATGCTGCACAGCTCCTGGACACACATGCATGCTATCGCCTTGTACGGCGTATGATCATCAGTCATGTATGCAGTTTTTAAGGCTAATGTCTGCGAAAAAAAAAACTTGCGTCGATAAGAAAAGACGTTGACCCGATGTTCCTGAGATGACTTTTCTAAATCAGACGACTGCCTGGGCCGATGATGAAGATGACAGAAAAGACGCTGGTCAGTTCAGAGTGCGATATAACGAGCACCAACAAGGAGACTGTACAAGATGCTGTCGAGAGCCAGAGGGCTAATGGCGCAGGAGGCCTTGAAGGAGGGGCACTACACGTACGCTCACAGTCCAAGTACACGATTTCTCTAATGCCCTTCAGCGATACATCAATACCCCCTCTTCGGTAAACTTTAATTTCCTCATGCAATGTTCATGGGAAGCATCTGCAGTTACTTTCCAATTCGCGTTGAGCAATGGCGGTCCAGCCTCCATCGTCTATGGCAGCATCTTCGCATGGGCTGGAACAATATTAGTGGCCCTGTCACTCGCTGAAATGTCATCCATGGATCCTACGGTCGGCGCTCAGTATAGGTGGTCTACTACTTTTGCACCGAAGTGGAACCGCTTCTTCGGTTTGATGCAAGGGTGGATTACGGTTTTCGCCTGGGTCTGTAGCTGTGCTTCTAATCCAGCGTTGATAGCGAACATTGTCGTCGGTTTGGCTTCCTTTAACAACCAGGGATACGTCTCCCAGCGATGGCATACTACACTTATCATGTGCGCTGCGACAGCCATTCCTTTTATTGGCAACCTCTGGCTACCCAAGTTTATCAACATACTCGAAACAGTCGGAGCGATATGCCATGTTGGATTTTTTCTTGCGGGTGTCATTACATTATTAGGTATGCTAGACTCTACGAAGTGCACGTGAGGCATATGTTGACTCTGTATCTTCCCATCTGCAGTCATGGCACAGAAAAGCTCTACAGAATACGTCTTCCAAACATTGACCAAGGACGTCAGCGGATGGGACAACTCGGCAGTAGCCTGGGGTATAGGACTCATCACTGTTACTTACCCTCTATGTGGTAAGCTAGCGGAAGTAATCTCTAACTCGGACATACTAATGATCTGTAGGTTTCGATAGTATCATTCACATGTCTGATGAAGTCAAACAAGCACGTACCCGGGTTCCACGGTCTATCATCTTCTCCGTCGTGGTTAACGGCCTCATGCAACTCATTTATATGATCACTGTCTTGTTCACCATTGGTGACGCAAAACGTGTCTCCGCTTCACCTCTGCCGATCATCGAGGTCTACTACCAAGCCACTGGATCTAAAGCAGCTACGAACCTGTTCATCTTTATGCTAATATATATCATCTTTGTATCCTTTTTCAACGTCTTCGCTTCAGTCTCACGTCTCATCTGGGCTTTCTCAAGAGACGGGGGATTACCATGTTCGTCTGCATTCGCAAAGGTTCATCCGACCTTTGGAGTGCCGGTCAACGCGCTATATCTCAGTGCTCTTTGTGTTTGCATACTCGCTCTGATCAACGTCGGTTCAAGCACGGCGTTCAACGCTATCATCTCTCTCACAGCATTGGGCTTGTACCTTTCGTACTTCCTTCCTGTCTTGTTCCTTTTGTGGCATCGAATGTCGAGGACGGCACCATCGCCAATTCCATGGGGACCATTCAGATTGGGCATTGCGGGGCCATATATCAACATTGGTGCCTTGTGCTACATCCTATTCACCTTCATTTGGATGCCGCTCCCGACTGTCCTTCCTCTGGACAGGTTCAATATGAACGTAAGTGTCTCCATGTTAAGTGCATGTGAAATATACGCTGAATCCATACATCCATATCTAGTATGCCGGACCGATTCTTGGTGCGATTATCCTAGGCGCTGCGCTAGACTGGTCTTGGAATGGAAAAAGGAGATTTAGAGTGCCAGTCGCAAGCCAGAGTCTTGAGTGATTGTACTGGTGAAGCTGGAATAGGCATCATGGCAGCTAGTCAATACATACGTAGTAGGCGTCGGAGGCTCATCGAAGCCGTCGCCCACTCGTCTGGCTATGAAGATCTTCTAAACTTTATGACGTTGATGAATCCAAGCTCCCTAACAACGCGCAGTCGGTATGACGTAGGCCGCTTTATCAACCATGTGTCGGTGGGCGCCTTTGATATCGTGGAAATACCCAGGATATTCAATCTCAATGTGATTGATGGATGCAGGCACCGATAGGTTGAGTCATGAGACGGCTAGTCTGTATTCGGTGTCGACGTTCACCGCTCCCCGTGACCGTGGTCAAGGTCAGGACATCAGTGACGAGGTAACGAGACATGGTCAGCAAGTGTCGCGATTGGGTGACACAGTGGCCCCTGACGTCTTTCTGGGCGTGTGAGGAGATGAGGATGAGTAGACCACCGTCTGGAGACCACGTAGCATTCTCCATAGAAACATCCATGGATATGCTCCGCGAGACCCTGATCTGCCAGTATCCCACGCGATGGTGCGGGGGAACGGTCGGTCCTTTTGGAGCGCGCGCAAGCTGGCCAGTCGAGTGTGGCTATCGGCTATGGCTTGCAGGAGTGGGCCCGGGCAGAGGTGCTACCCATGCACGATGATCGCAGCCTACATACACAGCCCACTCGACCTCTGCCACGCCGTCGCGAAGCTTCGAAAAGCGTCGGAAGCCCCGCAAAAATCCAATTCTGCGCTACGGGCTGAGGCAATAGGGCAGATGACGACATGGTGTCTTGTGAGACTGAGCTGAGAGCTGCAGCCCTGCCGAGAGCCGCGCTTTAAGTGTCAGATGCTCGCCGCCTGCCATTAGGCCACACTTCCTTGTCCACATTCAAACCTCAACACCACCACCACAGCCAACTTCACCACACAAACACCACCCGCCTACGAGTATGGGACGCCGTGACAGAAATAGAGACCCGTCCATATCGCCGCCGCCGCCTCCGCCCATGGGGCAGCCACCACCCCGTAAGATGCCATTGCCCAGTCTGTAGGCACAGCGCTAACAAGGCACAGCAGATTCCACATACCACTTTGAGAACTACGAAAATGGCAAGCCGAAATGGGCGCCTGGAAAGGACAACCAGAGAGACTACCGCGACTATCGCAATAGCCGCAGGGGCGATCATCGTCGTCCCCGAAAGGAACGGCCTGCTGAAGACGATGCGCCGCCGCCGCCATACCCAATGAACCCTCCTCCCCCACCCGGCGCTGCACACTATCCACCACCCCCGCCGGGAGCTTCAGAATATCCGCCTCCCCCGCCCGGTGCATCAGACTACCCTCCCCCTCCACCTGGAGCATCAGACTACCCCCCTCCCCCTCCGCCAGGTATGTTGGCTCGTCAAGGCAGTTTCCCAACACCGGCTAACAGAAAGCAAGATCCTCGTGACCACCGAGACCGCGGCGCTCGCCCACGTCGCCATCGCAGACAGCCCTCGTACTCGTCCGACGACTCGGAATCAGACTCCCCGCCCCCTCCGCGACGCAGTCACCGCGACGACCGCCCCCGCGACGATCGTCCCCGTAGATCTAGGCGCGAGGATACCTACGACTCATACGACGAACACTATCCGCCTCGCAGACCCAAGGACGACGGCCGGCGTGAACGCGATGGCTACAAGTCTGAAGGCTACAAGTCGGACCGCCGCCGCAAGGACCGCGACCCTTACTACGATGACCGCGACCGCCGAGACAAGCCACGTGACGATCGCAGACGCCGCGATGACCGCTACGACGACCGCTACGACGACATGTTCAACACCAAGCCGCGTCGCGACTCTCGCTACGACGACAGGGATCGTGACAGGCGCGGTCGATACGATGACGACCGCTATGATGACCGCCGTAGGAGCGGTAGAGGAGACGTGGGCAAGCCAGGAAAGCCCGGACAGCCTGAGTGGCAGAGGCAGGCTATGGGCATGTTCAAGGACTACGCGCTGCCCATCATCAAGAAAGAGGGTGCCAAGTATGTACAGAAACAGATGGCCAATGGCTTTGGACGGCGCTAGTAAATTTTAGTCGACATGACATAATAATGATTTGATGGGGGGTTTTGCACGGCGTAATGGTTTGGCAGCGGGAACACCCTTCATTCTTGACGACTCTTTGATATGGCATGCTTTTCCGGTTTTGGGCGTTTTGGGTATGTACTGAACATGATATCCAATCTACACATTATCTGCTCTATCAATACTAAACATTAGATTTCTGGACTTTCACATGGATCTGCGGCGAGAAGACTAATCTGACTCGGTTCTGACTGATTTCTATTGTGCACAAGGGCAACGAATGGCTGGCCAGTCTATAGGCCCTACATGAAAGCATGCGTGTCTCCAACCCTATCAACTCTACTTCAACAGTGAATCAGGATCCTCCCCATCCAGTACCGCTCCACTACGCTTCAATCGCTCGATGCAGTACCTTAGGCACAATAGGCGATGAGACAGTTGATCTGGCAGGCGAACGCCGGAGCGAGCGGGCTGCAGTTAGAACGGCAGATGTCATATGAGTCTTGGTGGGCACAAGCGGCCGCCTGAGCGTCTAACATGAGAACCAATCGTTAGCCAGGGCTTTCACTATCCAAGTACCCCGGACGTGGAGACTTTGGTGACAGAAACATCACGTACCAAGAGATGCACCCGTCTGCTCTAGCGAGGTTGCGGGAAGCGCGGTGGCCGTGACGGCGAGGGCAGCGATGATGGCAGCGAAACGCATGGTGATTGCAAGAGGATGATTGGTTGCTTCTTGAGAGAAGAGTGCTGTTCTGGGTAATGGAACGTGAAGAGAGGATGCGAGTTGTGTTGATGAGGGGATATCCAAGATGACACAGGACGACTTTATACACCTTTCGAGGCCTTTACCAAATTGATTCCTTAGGAGGCTATGAATAACCATTACCAAATGGAGAATAGAAACCGGGAAGAACGGCTGCGCGACGGATCGCGACCTGCATGGAACTAAACCTCATCTCTCTGCACTCCCGAAACCTGGGGGTGGGTAAGGCGTTCCGTACGCCCCGTGGGGTCTAAATACAACGCCTTACGAGGAAGATCAGGTATGATTGAGGCTAATTGAACCAGTCTGTGTTCCACTATAGATTAAATGTCTTCGTATGCTGAGGGTGGCCTTGCATTGAAGCATCCTTCTATCACCGCAACCCCAACCTTCCCCACAAGACGAAGTAACTTTGGGTAATCCTCTACCACTGTCGTCACTCCAAGGCCTTGTCATTGCTTGTATCCGCCCGAAGGATCGAGTGGCTGCCTGGGTCCTCCTAGCTCTTCCCATCTAACGTAGTCGATGTTGCATCGGCTGCGACGAAGCGTATGCACTGGGATTTGCTCGCCGGGTAAGCTTCATCCCGAGAAGCTGAGCTGTGCCTTCCAACCCGAGACCTTTTCCTCGGAGATTCAGCGTGACGGTTGGATGACACCAAGATAGGGCTTACCATTACATGAATGACGATGGATGCTCAGATGCAGCACAGCAATCCTTCGGTCATGAGAATCGAAGTAAGACCTCTGGTGGTTACATCAAAGGTCAAGATTTGCACTAGATTATACGAGCGTACCAACCAAGATGTAGGTGCGGTCACACTACGTAGAGACAATACCAGATCTGACTTCTCCCCGGACGACATCCTCCGCTCGCCTGATCAAACAAAATTAGCAACCCAAACATCCATCGCCCGAACTCCCTTCGGTCCTCCCGGCACGTTCTCCAAGCTCGCCTCACATGCATCCCGCAATGCTAAAACCACCCCTCGTTCCCTTTCATCACTTATCTTCTCCTCTACTTGTCTTTCAAAAGAAGGAGAGAGACAAGCAGCGACTTCCCATTGTCCGTCCAACAACCCCTCTCCACTCTGCACACGGCTCTCACTCTCCAATTGCCACCCGGCAGCCAGAGCTAGCTCGGTAAGACGCTTTGGCCCCAGCACTGTGCGTATATTTGAGATACTATTGGGTTTACGGCACTCCAGCGCTGCCTGCGCGAGCGCAGCTAGTACGTGAGGCTGAGAAGAGGAGTGTGTCGCTACCAAAGACCACTCGGCAAGGAGCAGACGTTTGCTGTGCTGCTTGATGGTCCGGAAAGTGGAAAGAATAAGTGAAGGGGAGGAGAAGTACCACAGACAGTGGGCGAGCACTGTAGCATCGAACTCTTGACTGCTGCTGGTTGGCAGTGATGAGAGATAGTCCACGGGAGACTGTTGGACCCAAGCAATCTGCCTACCTAACGGGCTTCGCGAGATGTGATCCTGTGCTTGGCCTAGAGTATATGGAGAGCCTGTAAGAGGATTAGTCCGCTACGCTTTGCTCATCCATAAAGACAGCAGTAAGGTAGGAACGGAAAAGAGGTACCATAGTCCAATTCCGCTGGATCAACGGCGACGACCTTGCCCTGTTCACCCACGGCGGAGGCAAGCACAGTCGTACAATCTCCTTGCCCACATCCTAGTTCCAGTACTTTCGAACCAGTGGAAACTCTCCAGTGCTGCAGAATTGCTAGACGGTGAAGGGTTTGGGAATGCTGAATGCCGAAGTTGGTCGCGTCGTGTAGAGAGAGACGAGCGATAGACTCAGCGTCAAATTGGGTAGACATGTTGTGCTTGATGAGTGTTGTACAACAGACCACTAGGCGGGTTCTGTGTGGGCTATCTATAAGATATCATGAACACAATGTTGTGAGAATCGAGCTAAGCTTGTGTGGGAAGGTGGGTTACATCCTTACCAAAGTACCCACGTGACATTATTCGTGGTAGGATGATAGTTGAGGAAAGGTAGACTAAGGTGATCGTGTGTCAATAGATTTTACTACAAATCATCGGTTCTACATCCCGTCCTCAGTCTAGTGTGGTCTCTCGAACAGAGCTTGTGTTCTCATGCAGGATCGTGGCATTTTGTCATCCGTACTATATAGATAAAGACGCGGGTGGGAAGCAACATAACTACTCTACTTCCGCTCATTCTTGTCTCCTTGCCAGACTAAACCCGAAACCCGAGGCCACGTCAAGCTGGTTATAGCTTAAATGACACGCCACACGCTGACACCTCATCTCCACGATCAGATTCTGTGCCTCGCTAGGGCAGGCGAACTCCAATGTTGTGCTGTTCAGCTTGACCGTGAGATCTAGTACCCCGAGAAGCTCTCAACGCACAGGAAGGTTCGAGTATGACAGGGCATCATAGTCAAGTTCATTCATACCAGAGGGAGTGGTGGCGGAGGCAGCGGAGGGTGCGATAAGCTGCCAGACCTCGATCTCCGTAATATTCCCTTTCGTTGTGAAGTTCCCAGTACGCGCAGAAAACTCAAGAGGTGGACTCTAGGTAATCGCGCAAGCATTGATGCCAAGGGAGGCGGAAGCGGGAAGCGATGCGTTCGCGTGTTGCGTGGGGTAAGGTTAGCTTGTAACAGGAGTGTTCCTAAGAGCCATTCGCATGACTGCAACTACTGTGTTCCACTAGTAAGCTGCGCACCCCAGTAAGCTGCGCACCCCACCTAACTTGACGCGACTCTCTACGCGATAGCTCTACAACAACATAAGATAATAGAATACAATCTTGTACATAGCTAGTCTATTACTGTCTACATTAAGTCCTAGTGTGTTCTTAGATATAGCACTTCGTACACGTTAGTAGTGCGCGCTGACGTCCCTAAGTAGCCTGAGCTTGTTCTACCTCCGCGACTACCCTTTCTGCCTCTATAGCAAGCTGCTAGCCTTGCTAAGCCTGTAGCGCTCCTCTACGAGCTATATATTAACGTCGCTAGTCTCTCCTACGTCGCTGGCGCTGACTAGCTGTACGAAGCTTCCTATTCTCCTCTGCGAGTATAGTCGCTGAGTTTATCGCAAGCTAACAACCTTTAATAAGCTAGCGTATAGCTTAGCTTATTAGGCTCTGCGACTGGCGGTGAAGGAGGTCTTTTACGTGTTAAGCCTGCTTTTCAAGCTGCGCTATCGTACGCGGTGTCTCTGCGGTCTATGCGACGTTGTTGTCTGCTGTTATCCCTGGTGGAGACGGCGTACGGACGACAGTGAGCGACGATAGGACGCGTTCTGGACAGGGAGGGATAAGCCCTGTCGCCTAGAAGCCTGCCTAGATGTTCTGCTGCGTAAGTACTGCTGGCTGGATCCGTGTATAGGCGGTAAGGAAGTCTATCTTGTCAATATAGTAGACGCCTTGGCGAGCTAGCTCCTAGATCTCGTGACCGTACGCTCGCTTAAGCGGGGAAAAGCAGCCCACATCAAGTGGCTGGAGCAGGTGGGAGGTATAGGCTGGCATACAGAGAGTAATGATCTTGTTCTCTGTGCAGTACTAGTCGAACTCAGGCGTGGCGTAGCTGCTATGGCTATCTAGGATAAGAAGCTAGTAGACTCTATGCGTACGAGGCGCTGTATATCTATTAAAGTGCTTTACTGTGAGGCGTAACTGTAGGCAATAGTGCTTGCTTCACGTTACTAAAGATAG